AAAAAAAAAAAAAAAAAAAAAAAAAAAAAAAAAAAAAAAAAGTCTTACTAATCAGGCAGCGTTGACTGGAGACTGTATATTTCTCTTACCAATGTTTTGGACGGCACGGCCTTCCTTCTTCAGGGTCTTACATACAATTATATTCTGTTTAATGGTCTATGCCCAGCTGCCGAGAATGATCCCTCCATCCAATATTCAAAAAAAAAGAAGGTGCAGCTAATTAGTGTACCAAAAAATTGACTGTCGTCATAGCACTTGAGAAAACACCCACTCCATGAGCCTGCGATCAAATTGGTGAATACGAGTCACATGCGCGTAGCTCATGCGCAGTAGGTATCATGGCTGAGATGATATGACAGACGAAGGAAGTTGAGCAAGAGCACAAAATTCACCCACCGAAAAGTCGGGTTGGTTGCTTTATTTCTCCTCGCCGCTTGGAATTTATCTGCTTCTTTTAAAGACGAAAACGTAGACCTTACTATCCGCCTAGTTTCCTAGCTGTTTCCGCTAACATTCACTGTTTCCGGTGCTAATTTCCCTCGGTAGATCTTTACCCGCCAAGAGAACTGGTTTTGACGTTGTGTACGTTGTGTACGTCGTATATTCCTAGTTTAACATCTTCCTGTCTTGTTCGTTGTGGCTTAACGTCCGTAGTAATCATCATGCAAGCTTCAGATGCCGAGGTAGGGGTCCTGGTTATTTTATTGACTTTTTTCATGTTGATCTGTTGTTTGTTGGCGGGAGATTCTAAATTTGTACGTCTTTTCTTTTCAAATTCTTGTTTGATGAAGTGTCCCTTGTGCATGGAACAGTTAGAAATCGACGATGTCAATTTTTACCCATGTACCTGTGGATACCAGGTGATGAAATAATTAAATTATTATTTTTGTAGTGAGGTTATGTACACAAAATCAAAATTAAGTTACAGTAATCTACAAGCTATGCAATGACGTGAGAAAACAATTCGAATTTTTGGCGTGTATTAATCATATGTATAAGTATGTTCCTCATTAACAACAGAATTAAGAGGCCTGCTCTTATTAAAGTTGTAGGAACTTAGAAAACGTTCCTGTCATGAGTTTCAGTTCTGTGATGTAAGCTTTTGTAGTTTACAAAGTACATGTTATGGCGGCATAGTTTAAGCCTGCCTTTGAAAGGTGTTTATCTGTAAGGGCTCTCCACTTTGACATAGTTGATTCTGATTTGAAATTCAGAAAAATCTTTGATTTGTGTGTAACGTGCATTGAAATATTGTAAAAATAAAAGCAAGAATTGCACAATTAATTATCAACCTTTTAATAAGTGTAGTATCTGAGTGGTTAAATTTTTAGTTGACATTAGGGCTGTCTGTTGCTCTGTTGTTGTGGATTACTCGCTAGAATGTCTGTAAGGGGTTGTGCTGGCCACTGTTCCAAGTCCTGATCCTTCTGGAGACAATCTGCCTTTCCTGTGTTCAAATTTGGCGTGATTTTAGAACACTCAGGACTCTCTGATGTGAAGAGGTTAATGTAGTGTTATCGCTTGAAATGATATCTGTGGGGAGTAAATGTATTGCCTATAGGCAGGGTGAATAGCACCGAATATGGCCTTACACTGGAACATACTTTTTTGACATTTTGCGTGCTGCGCGCTTGCGCTGGAACAAAAGAATTAGTTAATAAGGTTCAGGATTGAAAGTTCTAGATTTTTAGGATTTTTATAACTTTTTGTCATTAAATCATAATTTCAGGTTAAAGTATTATGAATTATATCATTGCTTTTTTATAATCTTAGCAATAATAGTTATTCAAATTTTCAAAACTTTCAATTTTTAAATTTGGTCTTATTTTACTTGTGCAATATCTGTAAACTAGCCATATGGCTACGCATACATGTGTATTTACCAGGTGAAATAAAGTGTCTATGTCTATCTCTATGTCTTTTTGACAATGGAATGAGTTAAATGCGTAATAAAATGTGCAGTTTTAATGTTGCTATGGTGAAAACACTCTAAATCTCCACCCATCCTAAGCATGGGCAGAATACACTTAAGTCAACAATTCTATCAGTGTTTGGTTCTCTTATTTTTGAATGCTCTGAAACAAATAATAGCAAAGCCAAAGTATTAACTCTAATTGACTGACATGTTTATACTCATACCTAAATTCGCAGATTTGCAGATTTTGTTGGCATCGCATAAGAACAGATGAAAATGGACTGTGTCCTGCTTGTAGAAAGGTGTGTTTCCACCACTTTTAGCCTCTATACATAACATGTACCTTCCCATTTATGTATACTACATTATGGTTGCATCTATAACCATACAGCAAAAACAAGTACATGTAGTATTAATTACCAATGTAACTCATGGTTGGGCAGTGTAATAACTGTCATCTTTAGAAAGCTGTGTTTACACCACTTTAGGCTTCTACACAGTCATCTGTATGTGTGCAGTTGTAATTAAACCGTTCCTATACACAAACACTACATTCTGGTTGCAGTCATAACCATATAAAAAAACTAAATAATATTAATCTTGAACATTTGTTGTTTCCTGGCACTATTTCTTAAGGTGCTCGTATGTTTTGAATGTAGTTGGAATTGTAAAGAGTGACCATGTACATTCAGAAAAGATTAACTAAGCAGTACTCTTTATTTTTACTGTTTAACGCAGTTCTCAGAGTTCCTTTGCACAGATTGACTCTTTGTAAACCTGTTGAGTACCTCTGCCCTACCCCCTGCTTACTGTCTGCCCACCCCCCCTTTCAACTGCTCATTTTTAGCAGACACAATAACTTAAATGGTGAAGTGAAACATTCTCTGAGTTTTATGATTGTTGTTACATTTTTCAGCCATACAGTGAAGATCCTGCAATTTACACACCACTCTCTCAAGACGAGTAAGATGCTCTTTTTTACTTTATCAGTATTATTATTGCTGTACATGGTACAACTGTAGTTTTAAAGTTAAATTGATTATGACGTAACAAACAAAAAGTGTAGTCTCTGATCAGGTAGTTGCCTTTTACTGTTTGCCTATCAGAGTGCTGTGATGAAGCTTTTCGTGTTTATAAAAACTGTCTAAAAAAAGTTACATGTATTTTCTTGTTTCAGAATACAGAGAATTCTAAAGGAAAGAAAACAGAAAGATGTACAAAGAAAACAAAAAGTTACTGAAAACAGAAAGCACTTAGCAAATGTGAGGTGAGATGTTTGATAGATATGTATCAGTGGTTACTGTTTATGCGAGAAGTGTAAGTGTTGCCAAAATCCTTATCTGCAGGTTGCTACTATGCATGCACATCACTTATGTAGTCAGCTTTGTTTGGACTTACATTTAGGATGATTGGAATGTGCAGAAGGCAGTGTTATCATGCGCTTTTGGACCTTCTATCACTCATAATCTAATTACATGGTTTGACCATCTATCACATGAAACGTACGCAAGGCACAGCGGAAGGGATAATAAAATGTTTTTATCTTTGATCATTGTTGCCCACACTCTGTAACCTTTGGTTATTACTAGTTCATGTAAATGAAAAGGCAGGGATTTGGCCTGCTAGATGTACCCCCTCCCCCCAGTACACTGTGTAGGTGATGTGAAGCATTATAGCATACATGCATGTAACATTTATTGCATCGCATTATTGTACTTGAAGTACCAGTTAAATTTTTACGTCAGTAACATACTAGTCTATGCAGTCAACTCTCTCTAAGACGGACACCTAAGTGTCCGTCTTAGAGAGGTGTCAGTCTTATAGAGAGTCAAATAAAGGGAGTAAAGAAAGGCAGGGACCAACTCTAAGTGTCTGTTTTACAGAGGTGTCCGTTAAGAGAGAGTCGACTGTATACCACATTGGAAGTGTTGTAAAATATGTGTCACAAAGTTATGCTGCCTATTTTGTTAGATCCTGTGGTATGATGTTTTCACTTTAATAATCCCTTACCCTTTGCTATCATCTGAATGGCAACTGATTGTTGTTGTTTATTTTGTGGTAGGGTTGTACAGAAAAACTTGGTATTTGTAGTTGGATTAACTGATAGTTGTTTATTTTGTTGTAGGGTTCTACAGAAAAAGTTGGTATTTGTAGTTGGATTAACTGATTGTTGTTTATTTTGTTGGTAGGGTTCTACAGAAAAACTTGGTATTTGTAGTTGGATTAACTGATTGTTGTTTATTTTGTTGGTAGGGTTGTACAGAAAAACTTGGTATTTGTAGTCGGATTAACTCAAAGATTAGCAGACCCAGAGGTGAGAATAATTCAAGTAAAGCCCCAATTGATTCTAGATTGTTTATTTTTGGTGATTATCATAAAAGTTAGTGCAGGAGATAAAAGTTGTGCACAGTCAAGTTTTAAAAAAGCAAAGAAAAGCAGATAGACTGTTGTATGTCATGTAACTATGGCACTTAATTAGCTATGACATACAGTAACTACAATCGACTCCCAATAACTTGACAGTTCTAGGGAGATAAAAAAAGCTTGAGTTATTGGGAGTTCAAAAGCAAATAACTGGGAATAAGGAAATGAGCAAATGGATGGCGGGGAGGGAATGCAACTATCATGCACACCTTATTTCAAGGGCAGCAAAAAACAAACACGGCAGTTCGCAAGCAAATTATTATTCTTCGGGCGGTAGTACGGAGCTTTTAAAAACTTCTATCCATAGGTGGGAAGAATGCCAAACTATATTTCCATGGTGCAGAATGAATTCCAAATTATATTCTAGGAAAAAAACAAGGTTTCCACAATAAAAAGCCAAACTGAAATGCACTTTGAGAAACATATTGTGCGACCAAAACAAGCTCGTCTGCGAAGTGAGACGCACTGACAATCTCTCAATTTTTGCCTGTACTTTAAAGCTGCTGGCCCAAATTGCTTTAATGTTTTCTGTAAAATACTTCTGCAGTCAAAATTTCAGCTAGAATTATTTCTTGATCACCAAAACGGGTGAGCAAAAACGGTGAAAACATTAGACCAGGGCACCAAGACATCACAAATCAGTGACATCACTGTGACTACCCACCCAGTACTGTAAACTTCCAATGATATTATAAGCCCCCCCACTTATAAGACCCCCCATTTACAGGCCTATCTACCTGTAAACAAAACAATACACCAGTTAAAGGCCCCCCCCCCCCTGGATATCAGCTCCCTCTAGCTTGTAATTAAAATGAATTTGACTTTTTACGACTTTTTGAAGCTTAAAAAAACAGTCTAATTCAAAAAGTATTTTGATCAGCACTGCTACAGATTTATGTATGCAGCTTGTTTCGAAAAACTTTTTTCAGTCCAGTTATAAGCCCCACCTCCCCCCTAAAACTCCTTATGAAGTTGTATGAGCTGAGGGCTTATAATCAGAAGTTTATGGTACATAAATATAAAGCCAACTCGTGTTTCCGCCTTCCTTTGTGATCCATGCATGTTCCATGTGCAATGTGGATTATTAACTTGCTTGCTTTACGAGGAATTATTTCCTACACTTCTCAACCCCTTTTGGCTTTTTTGTAGCTCTTAAAAAGACCAGAATACTTTAGCAAGTTTGGCAAAATACACAAGATAGTTGTGAATAATAGCACAAACTATGCTGGACCTCAGGTGAGTTAGTTCCACTCTGAAGCATGTAAATGTGATCAGTTTCAAATGTTGAAACCCCCCAAGTGTCCTTGTTTAGTAAAACAACTGAATCTGTTTACGGAGATCCAAATTGTTTGGATTTTCATATTATGGATTTTCATTTACTGGTACAAAAGATAAAATAGAGTGGTTAAAAATGTTATTAACTTAGTAAATTCAAAATCGGGAAGTAGAGATTGAGTCCTTAACTGTCTAGATACACTTTGTACAAATTAGCGTAATAGTGCATGGGAGTGTAGAGGAAATATTTATACATTATTTTAATGGTCATTATAAGCAAGTGGAAAATGATCAATTTTATTATGGAAAAGTTGCTGACTGTTTAGTGTCATGAAGGCTGGACATACTTGTTATTTTACAATAACTGAGTGAATCCTTGTGTGCTGTTTGGTCAAGAGCTATGGTCTATGAGAGTATAGACCATGGGAATGACGTAACATGTCATGCAGTGCCAGTTGTTTTGTTTTTGGTTTTTCGTAAAAAAATAAGTGTTTTTCTAAAAAACAAATCAACCACAATTTTCCATGATCTACACTTTTATAGACCATAGAAATGACGCCATAAAATGTTCAAAACTTTGCAGTGAAACCACTCGCCTGTGGCTCGTGGTTCTACTTGAGTTTTGAACATTTTATGACGTCATTTCTATGGTCTATAAGTTTGGAGATCACGGAAGGTTGTGTTGGATTTGTTAACTGTAGAAACCAACTATCATCATCTTTGAAATTAATAATACCTGATACTTACTAAATTTACATGTATGTGTACAGCTTGAAAATTCTAATTGGCTGTTTATAACATCTTTCCAGGGTCCAAGTGCAAGCGCGTATATTACTTATGTCAAAGAGGAGGTAGGTTGTTGTTACTAAGAGGATTTTGTGATGACGTGATTTATTTTGCTGGTACGCAACTGTTAAATTTATGTACAGACAAACAATTAGTCATACATGAACTTTATTTTCACATGAATTTTACAGTAGCCATGAAGACTAATATCTCTGTGTAAGATTAGAAAAAGGTAACCAGCTTATTTACATTAGAAGTACATTATCTACTAAAATATTATGCATATTATACTACATTGTTCATTGAAATAATTATTGTGATAGGCTAATGTTATTCTTGAGAAGTTATCATTTTCAAGGAACGTTTAAAACTTCTTTTGAGCTTTCTAGTGTAGAACTAGCTTTTGAGGTTTAACATAGTTCAAGGGACTGATTATTTTGCTTTTGTTGTTAACAGGATGCAATAAAGGCCATCATAGCAGTGTGTAATACTCATCTTGATGGTCGAACACTCAAGTAAGAAATAACATTTCATTAAAAATTATTTGAATGTAGCTTTCCAAAGAAGTGAAAACAAATGTGTAAGTCATTTTCATTTACCAAAACATAGGTTTTTGAGAATTAGGTATCTGAACCATTGCTATAGGATTGGTTTTTCAGTGTTTTATGTTCATACATGGGTAGATTTTGAATCCAGTCATTGTTTTTGTGACATGGGAATGCTTGAGCTGAGCTACCATTATGGCTTATTAATACTGACCAATAATTTGTCAAACTTTGTCTTTTAGCCTTATGATAATATTTTGTAAACTTGATGTTTTGTGTTTACTCTGCAGGGCATCACTAGGAACAACAAAATACTGTAGTTACTTTCTCAGAAACATACCCTGTCCTAAAACAGTAAGCAATCTGTTTTTTTTTTAATACCATTCGTCTTCAAATAAGATTACATTTAGAAAGAAGCAAACTAAAAGGATTAAGGGGGTTTTTTAAACAATGGCTCTGCTCTAAGAAAAAATTTAGGAGGCCATGCTCTGAACCTGTGAAATGCAGGGTGCCCAGCATCTGATTTCTATGCAAAAACTGAGATTTCCTGGGTCTTGCTGCTAGAGCTCAACCCTGTTTTATTATTATTATTATTATTATTATTATTATTATTATTATTATTATTATTATTATAATTTATAATTGTTATTAGTAGTCTTTAGATAGTCATTTTACGACAATTCTCTTTCGTACACAAGAAGAATGTACATAGGGTATATATTTTAATATTTCATATTCTTGAATCTGTAAATAGTAAAATTTAATAATTATTATATTTATCATTGGGATGAACATAGAAATTTTCTTTTTTTTTAGTTTATAGACAGTTGTTTACATTTGTATCATTATTATTATCATTATCATCATCATTATTATTATCATTATTATTATTATTATTATTATTATTATCATTATCATTATTATTATCATTATTATTATTATTATTATTATTATTATCATTATCATTATCATTATTATTATTATTATTATTATTATTATTATCATTATCATTATTATCATTATTTTTTATCAAATAGGAAATTTATTTTCAAAAATAAGGCAAATAAAGAAACCTTACAAATACATTGAAACAGAACACATCATTAAGGAGGGGGACTTATTCCAGGAGAGAGGGCCTATTTAATGGGTTTTCATTATTATTGTAAATATTAATTGTGCCTTATATATTGTTTTTTAGGATTGCATGTATCTTCATGAGTTAGGTGATGGAGCAGGAAGCTTCACAAAAGATGACATGCAAGCTGGGTTAGTGCTCTTTTCTCCGTCTTTTTTCTGCTCCATACTTCATTTAAATTGTCAGCCTTTTTGGCCCTGGTATCTTTGAATGTTGTGTTTGCCATTCAAAATGTTTTAGTCGGACATGTTTTCAACCTGAAAATTGTTTTTGATGTTCCTGCTTGATCCCCACATCCTGCAACTCTGTCTTGGCACTCTTGGACTAGATCTGATCAGATCATTACAGAAATTACCCTGAGAAAAGCGTATTGTCAAGCGTAAAAGTCATTATTTTTGTAAAAAGTTCTGTTTAACTTAAACCTTAAACAAACATTAGCAAACAACGAAATGTGCAAGTAAAAATGCTGCAGCTTTGTCTCAGCAAAACCAAAAGATAAAAGTCTAGATGCTATAAGAATCCACATGACAATAGGCCATTTGCATGATGGCGTCATTTTACTACCATGACCAGCATCCTTTTTATTTTTCCTTTCATTTTAAATTTGGTAATCTCAGCGAGGATAAAATAACAAAAGTCCCAATTTGCACAAGAAAGCAAAACCCTGAAGAATTCTGGTCGTAGTAGTAAAGTCACGTCATCATGCAAATGGCCTATTCTTTTTTTTTTTTTTTTTTTTTTTTTTTTTTTTTTTTTTTTTTTTTTTTTTCACGTGACAATTCTTGGACTTATGTTGTCTTTTTTAGGAAACATCAAGAATATGAACAACAGTTAATTGCATTTTATTCAAAGAAAATGTAAGTTTCAAATTGAGTTATTTATAATTATTATGTGGATATTTCTTGTATTTGCTGATAACAAAGGGGTGGATAGCCAAAGATTCTATTATTTATTACAGTCTTTGTAATAAATCTTGACTTTCCACTGCTGTAAAACAGGAAGTCCAAGTGTTGTACTGGTACATGTATGGGCATCCAACTGCACAACACAACTTAAAAAGAACAAGATGTTTTGAACTGCATGAGAAGAAAGCCAATAATTATTATTGAGAGTAGAGTACTGTACTCACCCTTTTCTTTTCTTTTTATTTTCTTTTTACAGGGGCCTTAGTAATGATAAGGTAAGCCTACTTAATATTTTGTAAAATGGTTATCTTAGATATGGCGTGCTTTGTGACTTTCCAGCCACTATAAAATTGTACAATTTAGAATTGACAGTGTAAGGTGGAAATTAAAAACATCACTTGTGGATATGGCAAGCTTTAGCTGGAGAGTTTGTTAACCCAGAGCAGTAGCGTAGTTCTACCGACCCCACCTTTTCACTAACATTTACTTTATCAAATGTTGCCTGCTGATTAAACATATTAGCCTGTCAGGCACTTCTACTAGCTCCAGGCTATCAAGCAGTGCTTTTTTTGGGCCCTGGTCAAAAGTGGCCTTTGTGTGTAAAGAAAACCTTTTGAAAACAGATGAATTATGGATGGTCTAGGGAATGAAAGCAGGCATTAACTTAATAAAAAGCTTAAAAAATAACAAAATGTCTTTTCTGATTTATAACTTTGTAGTGTTAACCAAAATGCTGAACTGCAATGTATTTCTTTATACATGTACCCCAACAACCTATGATTAGTTGGGAGTCTCACAGTGAAATACCATTGAACATCCCTTAGGTAATGATTGTTATTACTTCAGTAGGAACTACAAACTACATGAATAACAATTCATCCCTTTTTTAACACCACATTTTTTTCTTTTGAAGGATTCAAAAGAATGTTGGCCTGTGGTAGACAGCAGTGAAAACAGAGTGTCACCATGTTTACCACTAGGGGCAGCCTGGTATGATACTTTAAATTTTGAATATCTAAATCTGGATTTCTTGGTAGAATGCACTTTAAGTGAGACATTAGACAGTCTGGAGGCAGCTCTGAGCTTTACTCATCACACTTTTGTAGTATTTCTTCTCCTTGCCTAGGTATAGCTGCAATATTGAATATCACAATCCTGATTTAAGGCAAAATAAAATACTAAGCGCCAATATTATTGTTCAAACAATGGATAGCGCTATCCATGAGATAAATCACAATTTAAAGAAACCAAGCGTGTTATATAGAGATTTATCCACCTTTCAAAGAACTGGGGCCAAGTGACTAAAATGGCCATTTTTCTAATTATCAAAATTCATACTTGACTCTGAAGCTGAAGGGAATTTTATTAAACTTCATACTTGGCTGGGAAGCTGAAAGGGATTAAACAAAAGACATGCTATTGAGATTTAGTGATGAATAATACATTTCTTCAGTTTTATTCAAAACTGGCCTGTTGCTTTATACATGTACATAGGCACTGACTCTGCAGTTTCCTCACTACCTTTCAGGGCTGGTAAAAATGAAGATGATACAAATCAACCTGTTGCAGATGGTGGTGATAGTTTAGTGCCGCAATGTAAAGAAGACTGGGAACAGTCCTGGACACCTCCTACCGCCATGCCTGATCACACCTCTTCTGCTTCAATAACACATCAACAACCAACAGCTTTTCCTCAGACATCACAAGCTAGCACAGGTAGCGAATGCTTTTGATTAATAAACAGTAAAACTTGCCCTGTTTAGGTCACAAATACAGAAAATTATATTATAGACTAAGCCATCCCGGTAACCCCATGACTTCTCATTTGTTTGATTAAGTCAATATTGGGCAAAAGCAATTGTGGAGAATTTGATAAACATTCACCCTTGTAGGAGACAAAATTGCTTATAACCAACTCAGGACTTTGCAACTCATGGACTATTTTACACCTTTTATCTGTTGCAGCTAATTTTTCGTTTCTAATCAGTTAATTTTTGTCTTTCCTAAATGTTTCTTGATATAGTAATGTATGCTAATAACTTTGAAACAAAGGAAAAATGAAAATGAACTGGTACAGATCCAACTCCAGTGCATTGGATAATAATATGTGAAATATTCTTCCCCTTATTGTAGCAAAATGTCTGGAACAGGACCTTAATACAAATTACATTATGTTATCCTTGAGTCATAACAAATAATAATTTATGTTCATAGTCCTTTGACGTTGTGTCATATCAGGGTAATACTGTTGCTGTAATAAAGGTTTGTCCTTTTCAGAAAAGTTTTAAGCTTGCATGCATAGTATTCCTTCGGTTTAATGTTATTTTATTTGCCCCAGTTACACTGTATTTTATTTGCCAAAGGGTACTTAAAATAGATTGTAAGAATATTTATTTGCTGTATTATCTTGCAGGGTGGGCAAATACAGAAAGTGCTACTCGTGTCTTAGAGTAAGAGGCATTTTTCTTTTTGTCAAAACTTTAAACTTACGAAAACAACAACAGAGAGTTTCCTTGTTAGTTTCTTTACAAATCTTTTCACATGAACTTTTCCTTTTTTTTTTTAAAAATGACTTCCCAAATGCAACAATAAAAAAATTATACTAATTAACAACAGTAGGGAGCTAGTTACACTAATTACACTACAAACACTACTCAATACCAAAAGAAGAAAAAGTAAAATGGTAAATAAGTGAAAGTGAAAAAAATAAAATAGTTTAAAAAATCAAAGCTGTTTGTTTAACACAATTTCTTTTATAGCCTATTGAAATAATAGTGACTTCAGAAGTGAGCAGGCAGCTTGAATATGAATGTTAATATTAGAACTTGAGGATAGAAGCCACAGAGGAAACTGTGCCAGCTACAATTTCCAAGATACAACTAACGTAGCCTGAGAAAACAGCCGACATTTTTTAATGCACCACTGCTTTCCACTCAAAATGACCTGTTAGGAAGGAGCACAGAAATTCAATACTGATGATATATCACCTACCAGATCTGGGTAGTGAAACGTCATCATTGTGGAAGTTCTGTGCTTTTTCCTCAACGTCATTCACAGGGGAACCAGTGGTAGTGTGGTGAAATGTCCACTGTTTTCACAGGCTGCAACTACCTTAAACTTGTGAATCAAGTCTGAGAACAAAATCCATAAGCAGTTTCTTTCAAGGACCTTTCTTGCAGCTGTATAACTTGTGATCTTAAGTAATCTTGAATCTTACTAAATTCTGAAGCTGATTACAGACTGTCAGGGAGATATTTTGAAATAAATTATTTGAACCATCTCTTGAACCATTATTAAATGGATTGAATTCTTTTTTTCCTGGCAGGACTTCCAGCCTGTTCACAGGAGATATCTGTGGTACCGGCTTAGGACTGGCCAATCTACACTTGAAAGTTTATGGAGATGATGATTTAGGTATGAGCTAAACTTATGCTTGTTGAGAGTTCATACAGGTCATGGAAAACTTGGAAAGCGATGAAATTTAAGAATTTCACAGTGATTTTGTTACCTCTGCATCCTGTGTCCCTGACGCATAAAAAATTCTCGAAGACACGAAATAATTATTCATGACATCATGAGGCATGCCCCCTTTTGTAGGATGCAAAGAATAATTGAACCATTTGAAGATCTTTGGTAGAACATCCTGTTGTGTGATTTCTCAGGCTGTTGTTTAAAGTTACATATTTTTTGTGCTTTAAATATTTAGAAGGACTATAATTATATATATCAGTTAACTGTAATAAAGAGTTTTGGCATCTGTCTCCAGATTAACTGTCTGGTTACATAAAGGCCTAAGTATAACTCCTTTTTTTTTTATCTGCGACTGATTGGTTATGGGCCGGGACTCGTGATTTTTCACAAGATGAGTACCAGGACTCACCATAACTATTTGTAACAAAAGCACTGATCTCATTTTCTAGACCTGGAATTTAATTGCAGGTCATGTTTTTTGTACACTAAATTGCAGCAGCCGAGTTTCTTCAAGTTTGATTTCCCATGACGTATTCTGTGCCAGAGCTTCATGTAGTCAAACAGGCTGCTCAGAATTTAAAGTAGTTCTTTTTAGCAACATAATGACACTTGAAATAAGAAAATCACTCAGAAGGAGCAATACATAAAATAAATATGATATAATAAAATAATAATCAAAACATTTGCCTTTCCCATTTTTAGGGTTTGACCCGTGGAATGAGTGCAGTAAAGGTTTAGCAGATCTCCTCCAAGAGGAAGAACAAACCACAAAACCTCAATCAACACAACACATTTCTACAGCTTCACATACACACAGCTTCTTATCTCCATTTCCAAGAGATGTAAGAAATCTTACAAATTTTGTTAATTGCAAAGGCAATGTTTCCTGTGTTTTCTCTGCATTGCCTTTAAAGTAAAATCAGACCACATGGGTATGGTTTTCCCTATTCTTTACTTGAACGAATGTGACTTTATTGTTGTCTCATCATTTTTTTGTTATAGCCTGATGACATTAGAAACTTGCAAGATGGACTGAGGGCACTTCTTCCTAATATAAACATTAATTTTTCAGGTACTGTAATAACAAGGAGATACTGTGCCTGACATTGTACATCATCTTTTGTAGCTGTGTTTGATTTTTTCTTTTGCTCTAATATTATTGCGTGGCATTTCACATGTGACCTACAGTCCTTGCAAAGAACACTGCCTTGGGCTTTTTCTGTGACAATTTTTTTATTTTGTTGTGCTGGAAGATGATTGGTGGCAAAAAAAAGAGTCTGTATCTTTGTAAAACAAAAGAAACAGTGCCACCTTTTGCATGCCTTACATTGGAAAGACATACAGAGCAACAACAGGTTCCTTACACCTCAGACACACCAAGATTTTTTTCTTTGTCTAATGTTAAAAAATCTTTTCAAAAATTTTGTTTTTCTCCTTCTTGTTTCATCATCTAGATTCTCTCCTATCACAACAACAAAATTCCTGGCCTCCAACGTCATCATCATCATCATCATCATCTTCTCTTGTGACAGAACCAAGCCGTACGAACTGGTCTTTCACATCACAGCAAGCGTCAGCTGCTTTACAAGGTTGGTATCCAACAAAACATACATCAGAACATGCAGTTTACAAGTTAATAGAAGGTCAAAATGTCCATGATCAGATTGCATTTTGTGCATTCTATTCATTTGTGGTAGAAGTCCAAACAAAGGTGGCTACATATGTGCTGTGAATCAGTAATAGCAGTAATAGCAACCTGGGCCAAGTTGTTCAAAGCTGGGTTAAGATAACCCAGGGTTAGTGCAAGATTTGAATTAAGATTTGAAAGCTTAAAAAGCATTTCAGTTTTAATTTTTTCACGGTAATGTGATATCACATCTTTCTCCATTATTGACAGCCCTGTTTAGTGAGCTGATGGAAAGGTTAAACCAGTTTTCACTACTATTGGTGGTTAGGCCTAGTAAAAGCCTTTGTGACTAAAATGAACTTGTTTCATTTTGTAGTTCGCCCTCCTCCAGGATTTGAATGTAAATCACCCTCTAGTCACATGTCATCTCTTGATGATCCCAGTATTTTGTGGTCTAAAAGATTTGAGCCAGGTCAGTATCAAACGTTTTGAATGATATAGGCACCTGTCCAATGTCTCAATTTAACAGTGGACTCAAAATAGACCAAAAAAATGCTTCTCTGATTTTTACGCATGGTGGGAAGGTTAAGAGGAAAAGGTTCACTCTTGCACCATCTTCATTTTGAATAACTCTTAGGTTTGTCAAACCTGTATTAAGTGGTCAGTACAGTAAGCCTTTTCTCAAGGGTGACCCCATAATACAGCTTTGACTGTGTATTCAACACTGAGCTAGAAAAATAGATGACTTGGAGTGCTGGTGTATAACTTCCATCTATTTACAGTTATTATTTAGTTCATTCATCAGCAGACTCATTTTCTAGAGATTTTTTATTGTTTATTCTCATCAGGCAACCCATCAATTACAAGGTCTGTATCTAATGGCTTTCCTGGAATGCATCCCTTAACAAGACCAGATCTTCACAGCGCCGCGGTACGTCAGTCCTTTTCTATTGTTCATGCCTATTTTGTACCAAGCATGTTTTAAGAAGCGACAAACCCTTGCCACAAGCCCTAGCCAAACAAAAATTTTATTTTTACTTCCAGAGACCATAATTTTTATTTTGTCGGCGGAGGGGAGAGGATGGAGGTTGGGGTTTCACTGTTCAGAGTAAGATCCTGTAAAACCTGACTTGTGCCATATTCACACAAAGGCAGGGGTTAACCGTTGGTCAACCGTCCGATATAGGGATGTACCCCTTAAAAGCAAGTTGACTGCAAAAAACCTCTACAACGAATTGTAAAATTAAAAAAATCAGTGTCGCATATTTTACTCCAAGGATTTGGGTCAAGTGTGATTTCATATTTTTGTGAAAGTTTCGATGAGTCTTGGAATAGACCTTGCCTCAGTTGAAAAATTAAGGCAAGGAAAAACGCGTAACAAAAAACAAGCCACTTGTCTTGCAACATTGCTGCAGAAGGAGTTGAATAACGGTGTTGCGCGTTTTACCACCCACATCAACCTGTCTTGCAATAAATCAGGTTGTTGACAGGTTTGAACGTCGATGGTAAAACACGCAACACCGCTTTTCAACTCGTTTTGCCCCAAATTTGGCAAAACAAGTTGCACGTTTTCGTTTAGACTACGAGCAGTCTCTCTTTTCTGTAGTCCGTCGAGCAAAACGCGAGACACGCAAATGGCCACGCGCGTCCGCCCTCGTTTCGCGCGTCGCGCGGCTTCGCCGCTCCCGCGCGCGTGCATTGCTCTCACTAAATCTGAAGAAATTCGTTGCCCGTTTTACCGAAGTTTTAGATGGCACTGTCGACCGAATAATTGACTCTCCAGTGAATAAGTTGAATGGAAAGTACTATCTGTTGGATACAGATTCATCCAGTGGATGGTGCTATCCATCTTCTGTACAACTGAGGCCTGAAAAATAATATTTTTTACAAGGTTTGAGCACTGTAATTTTCATTTTAAGCCAGTTTACAGTATGTCGTGTTTGTTCTAGGCAGTCTCATCAGGAGAGAGGATAGAAGCACGATTAAATGGAGATTCATTGATGAATATAAACTCTAATACTAACGCTGGCTTGGATAAATTAAACAGAAGAAAAGACCGAAAAGAGCCCTCTACGGAAAATATAAAGAATTCAATCATAGAAGGAATTCACTCCATGTCGTCTGTGACACATAATCCTGTTGAGCAGGTCCAGACGAGAGTCAGTGAATTATCTGTTATTAACGTGAACGATCCGGTTCAATCGTGGTCAGACTATGATCTGACAACTAAAAACGCGGATGGCAGATTACAAGAGAGTAGAACATTACGCCAGAGACGAGACGGAGAAACCGCCAGTAAGGACATACAGCGGCAACAGCAGCAACCAGGGTATTCAAAAGTTGGGAAGAAAGTAGTGCGACACAACAGGCTTGATAATAAATCGAATCCAAGGTGGTCTTAAAAACATCTGAAGGCGAGTCCTACTGAAAAAGTGTTCAAAAACGAGGAAAAAATCTAAGGGAAGGCTGTTCAGTTGAGAAGAAGGTGGCTCAAGTATTCTTTGGTGGATTTAAAACTGACAGTTCTAAGAGTGGTATGTATTTCCAGTCAACTTGAAGAACACACTTTAGCCGCCATAGACTTAAGTGAAGAGAGTACAGCAATGATCATGGAAAAGAAGTAATGCGCTTATCGTCGCTTTGGAGGACTCGTTTTTTTGAAAGGATACTGAAGCATTAAATGATTTAGTACCGTATTTACTCGATTAGAAGAATGCGGCGTTTATTCGAGAATTATAGAAAAACTCGGAACGACTTTGTAAACCTACACCATCCTGACAACTACGATTCTATCTCAGCGAAAAAGCAAGACATGGAAACTTTTACATCTTTTTACAAATATTAATTTACAAATGACTTGCCGTAATTGTTTTCAGTGATTTAAGACATGTGATTTGGAGGTAAACGCCGTAGGGGAAACGCTAAAAATTTACTAAACGCCTCGATGTTTAATCGAGTAAGTACGGTATTTGTGATAATAATAATTATAAAAAAAACTAAACTGCAAAAGACAGGCAACATTTTAAAATGGTCACAGATAGTAATTAATCCATTTTGTTTATTTGCCGTGGGAGAACGTTCGATATTAAAATACGGGCACTTTTCTCTCACGGAGAAAAACGGTAAAAAGCCATAGCCAAATCGCAGGTCACTGTCGTCATTGTGAATACAGTATGCGTTTTTTGCAGATTGCATAACACCAATCGTTACAAGCATATGAACTTGTTTTATAGAGAAAAAGAAATGGCTGTTTGCTGTTTTCTGACAAAAGCTGCTGACTTGTCTTGTGCCTCAAATCTAGTGGACTTCGATAGAGTTCTGCTCTCTTGTAATATGAGTTCTTTAAAATAACAATAGCAATAATAAACAGGAACTGATTTACTAAACGTCGCGGATTTTTCCTCCCTTGGCATAGCCTGCATCAGTCAAATTATTATTATGGTATGTGCTCCCTGCTGTAATGTATTTGACATCTTCCTCATACTTCTACAGGAGCATTTTTTGTACGGGATACTATAAGGGACGGACCATTACTTTCTTTGACGGTTGGCGGGGGGGGGGGGGGGGGGGGGGGGGGGGGGGGAAATTTTTCGGAAGAAAATTTTGGGGAGGGGGTGAGACACAGAAAGAAATTGTGGGCAAGGGAAAAAAAGGGGGTTGGCAGGAAAAGAGGCGAGGGGCGGGGGGGGGGAGAAGGGGGTGAATTTCGGGGGGGGCCGGATGATGAAAAAAAAAAAAAAGGGGCATGAGTTCAGCGCTATGTAATATGACATAAAAGAGTCTTTATTTTAGCCTGTGCTTTTTTTTCCCCCCTGTCTGTCACCTCATATAATTAATTTTTTTTTTTTTTTTTTTCTCCCATTTTTTTTTTTTTTTTTCCTCCCCCATTTTCTTGAGAGGGTTTTTTTTTTGGGGAGAAATAAAAAGGGGAGCCTTTTTTTTTTTTTGGGGGGGGGGGGGGGGGGGGGGGGGGGGGGGGGGGGGGTTGGGAAATCTTTCGAAATAAATTGTTTGCAGAGGCTGTAAACACCGAAAGAAATTGTATGCAAGTGAAAAAAAAGGTGTTTGCAGGAAACCGGGGCGCGGAAAAAAATTGTTTGCAGCAGGAACCGAATGTATAAAAAAAAATGTTTGCATGTGAAAATTTTCCAACCCGTGCCCCCTCCACCCCGTCCAAAAAAATAATGGTCCGTCCCCTGGCCTATAAGTACAGAATTGAACTCAAATAGTAATATCCTTGTGACATCACAAGGTTCCCAGAATCACAACAGCCTACTGGATGCCAAATTATAAGGATTCGGTAGGAAAACAACACAGACACAGCTCTTTATGAGATGTGTATACTTTATTATTAAAATCCAACTGGTGGTCTATTATCAATGATGCGTTCTGATTGGTTGAGCTACTACTAGGCTATATGTTATAGCCCACTAGTCAGTAGCGAAAAGCGCCGGCTTTGAAAACCAAAACCATGGCGACTGAATCGCGTTTAGCTGCACGAGGACAATTTTGTACTTTAAATATACAGTCCTTTGAAATCAACTCCAGAAAGATTCCTTCACATTAAACAAAATGCATGAAATGGAACAAGTGTGATAACGCTGGAAACAGCGCAAATTCGCTTTCCAAAGGTCGTTGCCGTCCTGGTTTCATAAGCTCCCCGTTCACTTCCGCTACGGTCCCAACACCCGATGACCTGCCTCGTACCCAGACGTCTCTCTCTCAATGATAATGTACCCTTCCCATGGTCCCTTGCGGTTCATCACCAGTCTCAAGCCTCTACCTTGCCAAAAACAAAGCGCCTGAGGAGGAGGCTGCCCGATCACACTACACCAAAGCGTGGCACAAAACCTATCCGATATGTGACGCTCCACTTTCGAGTTCGGCGCGGCGCAGCTTCGCTCCGCTGCAGAAATCGCGCCAAAATCACCGTTCTTGTGTGTGAATAGAATATGGTATGGTTTTCTTGCCGGCGCAAAAGCTATCCGGTGCCTAATCCCATTATTGGTCTGGGAGCAGGTATATTTTCTCCTCCCAATCCATTACACTGATTTGTTCTTTCAGTGCAATACCCAACTAGACTGCAAAACAGTCGTTTTTTTTTTTTCCTCTTCTCAAAATCGCTTTGGCGCAGCTTAAGAGTCTCACACGCGCGAAGCGACGAGCCTCACACGCCCATAATCTCGCTCCCATTTTTCAGCCTCGCTCCAGACCTTTTGTTTGACTGCTTGCGCGTACATACGGACTGTTTTGCAACTTAATACTCAACCAATAGAACGGAAACAACGTTTGCATTTGCATAATGGCGTCATTTTACTATGACCAGAATCCTTCCCGTTTTTCCTTTCATATTCAAATTCGGTAATCCCAGCAAAAATAACAAAACTTCTAATTTGCTCACGAAAGCAAAATCCTGAAGGATTCTGGTCGTAGTAGTAAAATGACGTCATCATGCAAAGAAAGATTTATGAGACAAATCGTCATGATCTTTACATAAATCTGTGCATTTCTTAGCCGTCCTCGGCACAATTTCCTTATGAGACGTTTTACATCACACTAGACTGATTTTCCTTTTCTTTCAGAACTCAGGATGCGTGCAAACGTCTCTTATCTTTTCTTCCTTTTCATTAGCCGAGAACTTCCCACGTGACCTGCAAATAACTGCCTACATATAATGGTCTGCTCATGCGCAATGCCATCCAACTATGCAAATAATATTCTGCTCATGCGTAAATGAAACCACGCTTTTCTCCTTACTCTTACGTGAAAATGGCAGATATTCATTGAAAACCAAATTCGGAATGATAAAACAATTATTGAACTCGGTTGTCGCAAAATATCGTGATTTGGCAGTGTCTCGCCGATCAATTCTTTGTCAATAATGGATCTGCTCGCCACTGACAAATTACGGTATTCTGATCAACCTTTTTCAGTTATTAATGACTATTAAACACGAAAGTCAGTACATACAATGGGCTGATTTATTTTGACAACGGTTTACTTGACACCTTACTTCGGTCTGGTTTTCTCACTTTTTGTACAAAAATATTTTATAATCTAATTTGGGCTACCTAATCGAGGAAATACAACTAAGCATTTTGTACTGCATAAACCGTCACAGAAAAAAATAATTACTATTTTATGCTACCGATAACTAAGGGAATACTAAAAAAACCATGAATGTTAATTAAAAACAATAATATACACTGTAGAGTACAAAAGGAAGACTTTTTTAGCCTGCGAGCAAGTTGCCTATTTGGGGTATTCGTGAGAAGTCACATGAGAACTACAAGCAAAAAGAAATGTGAGTGCGAGAGGCTTCACCGCTCGCTCGAGTGTTCTCTCACAGCTTGCTTCACTCGCCATAATTGGAAAGCTTTCTCGCAGGCTAATTTTTTTCAAGCAGGATATTGAATTTACGTCAAGCCACTGTTGTCAAGATTAAACAGGTAAGTGATAGAAAATAATTTTCAACTTTTCACTGCCACTAACAAATAGCTTGTGTACGGCCATGTCTCTCCCTCTCTTGTTTGAGGGAAGGGGGCGGCTGTACACAGGCTACTAATGCAGGAAAATAATCTCTTTATAAGAGCCATTTCTTGGGGGGGGAAAAGAAAATTGTGCTTATTACAACGTACAAAATCACTCCCAGAGGTGCCACAAATATTCAAGCACAAGTTTCGAAATAGTCTTCTCCTCTGGACAATGCCGGCTGTCAGAAGTCAAACACTATTAAAATGTCTTGCAGAGGAATTGGCTGAAGGGGGGACAGAGAGAAACCTTGGTGAGGCCAAATTCATGATCATCATTTAAATTATTGGTTACTTGCAAATTCCATTGAAAAAGGGCTGCCACTCGCCTAGCAGAGCAGCTAACAGGATTTATGTATGAAGAAATCGAAGTTTGAGTGGCTCACAAAAGATGAAAGAACAGCTTAAGGGGTGTCTCCCCAAATATATTGGTCAGGATTGAAGCTCCATTAAACAAGTATTCAGATGGCTTCCGCAGATTTTCTGAAAAGATAGATGACTCCATTCCTTCACTTTGGCTCAACCAGCCCACTTAAAACTGTACAACAGTTAGTGCCAACATTGTCCAGTTCAAACCAAGCACATAACAAAATTCCTGAATCAATAAAGCCACTGTCACAGACACAGGAGAGATTTTACGACATCATCATGATGCTGACAGTAAGGAACAGTTTGCCTTTCCTTCTATTAATATCCTAACTGCTCAGATGTCAAATATTCTTCTTTGTGCACTAAAACATCCAACTTTATCACAATCAAAAGTAATGATGAACTTATAATCAATAATTCACAGTACAGTGTAACTGTCGTTAAGCTCATCACTTACATCCATAATGCATTTCTTTAAAATTATTAAGCATCTATTGCAGTTCATTCTGAGAGTTGACTGACATAAAGCAGTTCAGTTCACACCTATTCTAAGCTTTGAAGATAGCTTCATTCCGCTGCACCACTCTAGTCCACTAGTCTGGATTTTCGTCTTCTAGTTTTTGCACATATCTAAACTGGAAATAGCCTGTCCTCTCGCCATTTTGTCCAAACCAAATACCATTATCATATCTCTTAAGAACTTTGATGATGTCTCCTTTCTGCAATAAACACATCAATAATTGTAACAGTATAATGGAAAAAATTAAAGTCTCTTAAAGTTGTTTCTACATATCCGCATAAACTGTGGTACATCAGCCATGGCATCAAGTATTACCAGTGCATGGATGGATCTCAATTTGCAGAAAAAGACTTTCATGACCAGTTTCACCTGGGAAACTTCTGAAAGAAGGCAATGTATGTGATATGATGTGTTGTTGCTGCAATAGCATGGTGCTGATATTAGATGCCTTGCTCCAGAGGCTTAGGAAATTTCAGAGGGGTGGGGGGCAGTTGGATGATTCCATCACTTTCCATATGGGGAAATTCAAGAGTGGGGTGGGGGGAGGGAAATCTGTATCCCTAATACCCATACAACTTATGTTTAAGGAAAAAATACTTTTCTAGACATTAAAGTAAAGTAACACTACCTCAAAGGAAAGTCTTGATTCATCATACGGTAGAACATGTTGTCGGATGGCAACACACAAGAAGGAATTATCTGAATTGGAAGAATCAACCTGATAAAAAAAAAAAACAGAAACATGATGCAAGTATCATACATGTGTTCATTATTAGAGGGTAGCAAAAGGTGAACCCTATCTTTCCAAGAAGTGGACAAAGTTGAATGGTTGCACAACATAATTTTTTGCAACTCACAAGACTCATTCTTGTTTACTCTGGGTTTGAAAGGCTTATTAATGACATTTGAACTTAGATCACCATGCCTTCTGGTTGAATGTAACCTGAATTCCAGAAAACAGTGCACCTAAATGTGTCTGCAAAGTAGTCCTCAAATCCTTAACCCTGCCTCTTGTGGTCTTTTGTTATTTTGTTGGAGGGAACAAACAGGGATTTGGGGACTTCTTTGCAACTTATTATACATGTATTAAAAATATTGAATTATGTCTGCACTGCAGGTTAGTTATTTGATATTGACGAGGTCAGAAACTAAAACCTATATTAGAAACTTTTGACCCCTACTTGTATGTAAAAACAGGGCTGTCAGTAAGGGCTACTAGTAACTTTCACATAAAAAAATAATATAAAAATAGAGCCAAAAAACTTCCGAACTGTCCACTTTCCCGCCTAAATAATTGCATATACACAGCAACTTAAAATCTTGGTGACAGCATTGATGTTACAAAATATGTTTATAGTTATATGCAATCCCCTAAATATGTCAATGTTTTTTCAACACTGGTAGCTATAGAAATGACAAGAAAAACTGCGAAAGCTAGGATGGTTTTTTGCCACACAAAAAATATGAAGTACAATGATTACCGGTCCAGGGTGTGACCTCAAATTAGATGGTACAGATGTTCTTCTTGAGTTACTGTTATCAGGAGAAGCTGCTGAAGATGCTGGGGGTGGCATTGACCTTCTGGAGTCACTTGGCACCTGTTGTGGAGAAGCTTGCACAGGTGTTGCAGCTTGTGCAGGAGCTGTGACTGGCACAGGAGCTCCAGCTGGTGTCTGCTGAAGTTCAGTAACCTTCAAGAACAAGTCAGAACAATGATAGTTTACCATGACCAATCATGGTATGGTTGAACCTCACCACGACAATCTTGGGGACAAAGGTATGGGGCTGTTCGAGGGAGACGGCAAGGGAAAATTTCAACCCCTTTTTAAGTGATGTCACATGGAAGTTTAAAAGCAATATACATTTGAACCGCGCTTCACAGACACCCGTTAATACCGACAGCTCGTTATTACTGACACTTTCTATGCACCCCCCACCCCCAGGGTTTTACTGTAGATCTGTTTTTACATTTCACCATGCAGTCTATTCAAACAGTTTCAACATCTGGTTCCACAAATAAAAAATAAACGGGAAAGCAAAATTTTGAAGTTACCACTTATTAAAATACCAGTGACCTTATTTGGCAGCAAAATGCACCTTTATATGTGGCTGGAATATGACCATCTGGGGGGGTGAAATCCTGAATAGGACTGATAATGACAGTGATGGATGCTTCAACAACCTGCACAGTAGTCATCTTCACATACTGCACAGGATGTTGAAACATTAGTCACTTTCAATAACAGTCCTGCTCAGGACAACACCAAGGCAGATGATGATCTTTTTTATTCATGTCATGACTCACACAAATAAACCTTTCACTGTAAAACACACCTTTTTTACATATGGTTCTGGAATAAGCCCTTTATTGCCTAGATCATCCATTGCAGTCCACCATTTCTCTTCATTTTGTTCCACAACAATTAATATATCATTTTTTTTAAAGCTGAGGTCCTCTTCATCCTGCGGAGGAAGATGCAAGAATGCTGTTAGAAAAACTGCTCGCATCAAATAGAGCATAAAAAATGCTTAACACCAACAGCATAGGGAATGCAAGCTAATGTTAGGGTTTAACACGTTGAATATTCAATAATATAATAAAGAAGTTGTAAGTTTGAAATTCTACCTTTCCTGAGAATGGATACTGAGCTTGAACTTTAAATATCTGCAATAAAGGATAGAATTAATGGAGAAATAAATTCTACGAAACAGTAGCCTGAGTTGAAGTAGTTTCTACTTTTGTTCCTTTTAGCCCACTGCCCTCGCGTGTCTTTCCTCCTAACTCTGCTGGGCTTTAAGAAAATGGAACTGACAGTTTCACTGGCTAAACAAACTGTAGAAGGGTGGGGGGAAGGGGGATTATCACAAGAGAATGGCTAGCATTTACAATGCCAGGTTTAAAATTCTCCTTGCATACTGAAGGGTACGGACCTACAAGAGGTACTGGTATTTTTGTTGAAGGTAAAAATGAAATTTAGGTTAAATGGTTTCAACCTAGGTTGATTCTCAACTTTTGTGATCACCTAGCCTTAGTCATTCTTGATCATGAATAATTAGGTAAATTGAGAATCAACCTACACTGTAAGTTGAAACCACTTTAACCTAAACATTATTTTACATTACAACACACACATAAATAATAATATTAATAAATCAAGGACCCCAAACTGAAAAGAAATTAAGTTAGTTGTACAGCCAGGGCATTATATTATAAAAAGTGTTATAAGTGTTATAACACTTTGCCACTTCATCTCTTCCCTCTTTTTCTTATTCCTTAGTACGTAATTATGTACTTGCTGTAACTTAAAACAGTGTGATTTGAATAAAATAGATGGTAAAAGAATGGACCCAAAGAGTAAAGAGTTCTTGTAGAGCAAAATACTTATGTAGCTACTTCCAAGAATGTTAACATGAAGCAAATACGGTATTGTGATTGGCTAGCCAAGTGGGCAAGATGAGAATAATTACCCACTTTGGTTTGTAACTTCTCTTAGTCATATATATTCAATCCTTTATTTACAAAACATGAGGTCAAGAAGGCTCAATATTGGCCCTGTTCTTTTTTATCATTCTTATTGACCGCTCGACTTCGTCTGAGTCCATAAAACATAAGGAAGAACTTGGCAAATATTCTGCCATATTGATGTTCTGCCTGCACAACAGTGCAAAATTACTATCTTCTTCGGTCATTTGATTTCATCAGGCGGTGACTGTCCATTGACTGATCCTTTTAAAATGAAGTATACTGATGATAAAACCATGCCCCAAAGTTTGGTATTCCATAACTTTTAACTTCACTGTCTGAAGTTCATGTGTTATACGTGGCTTAAAAAGGCCCTCTGTACAATGATCGTCCATATAAAATTGGAATTCAGCAGTAAAATCACCACTAACAGCAAAATATCTATTAAAACATTGAGTTGCAGGTGATAACAATATTATACATGTATATGCTTTATTCCATTTCCTCTCAGACTTTGCAGTATGTATTCAGGACTTTCAATAAGAATTCTAGTAGCAGGAGAAAGGTGTAACATTTACACAGGAGTATATTGTGAAAGAGGCTCCATGTCTGAATGAAAAATATTCATAGGTTATCACAAATTAGCTGGAGAATTCGGTGTAACAAACGAAGAATTCTCCAATCTTCGATGCTTAAGGAACACCCTGTGTATTATTTTTTGTTATTCTGTTAATTTTTTTCATAGTCAGCATAGTATGAACTACATGTAGAGAAAGAAGAAAAGTAAAAATACAAGGAAAAAAAATGGTCTCTCTTACTGGTTGTATTAAGTTTGTGGAATCCAAAAAGTGGTTCTTGTAAAATTCTATGATGCCAGGAAGGTCCTGGAATGTATTATCTCCTATCTGATAATGACTTCCTTTGTTGTTGATGATGTAGTGGCTAACATTCCTCTCTTTGCCTTTCTCACTGAAATGCAACAATGGAGAACTTGATTAATTTTATGCCAGCCTCAATCTCTTAAGTAAGTAGCTTGGCTCCCTGTTTGTCCACCAGTCTTTGTTTTTGAACATTTCTCAGCAGTCACCAAAAATTCATGGTTAGTTTGTTAGTTGCCAGATATCAGCAATATAAAAAGTTTCAGAGGGGTCACTGATGTATGGGATACATAGGAGGTTAATAGTATGGTCAGTTGGTAAACTAGAACATTATTACTAGGATGGCTTGATTTTGTTTGTGTTTATCATTTGCACAAATCAGCTATATATATTCACAGAAAGATGGCAACAGAAGCCTAATAATTGGAACCAAAGATGTGTTTTTTGGGAAATGATTACAGGTTCCATTTGGAAAAGCCCAACTGGTAAAACAGGGCAAACTCTCCAGACATTCCACTGCCCTTGCAAAATCTTCCACTGGAACACCCTGAAAAGTCATGTTCAATTCACTTTCTGGATTTTACAGACATTTTGTAAATGGTGAACCACCATACACTTGCTGTCATAACAGGACCAGGGTAAACATTGGTGGTGTTCAGTCCAGCATTCCTGTAAGTACTTCATTTAACAAAGTCTGGCAAGCTGACATCACTTTTAATGTCCACTCTGTTTCATCTTGTAAGTTGTCAGAAGTGTTGCCAGACCTCATCTCAACGAAGTGGATATAGTTGTTACCTTGTAAGAAGTTGAGTTGTAATATGACCAACTGGCTAGTTAGATGACTGCCAGTATGAGTCCATTATCTGTTAATTTGATGTTATTATTCATTTAAAATATTTTCCCAATTCTGATTGGCTAAAAGCACACGCATAATTCACCATAACCAGTTACTGATGACCAAATTGAAGAATTGAAAATGAAAAGAGAATGAAGAATTTTCTGTTTAACAAGGAAATGACGTCAAAAATGCAGCCCGCTACAGGTTAAGGCAACAGTACCGAGAAGACCTGGGGACAAGATTGAGTTGTTTTGGTTGTTAAAAAAAAATGGTGGACATTTCACTCGTTTCAAGAGTAAGAACTACAGCTGAAACTAGTCAAAATAGTAGTTAAAAACATGGCAAAAACAGCAAGAAGACAACTCAGAGGGTGGCATATGCTATTTGGAGAATAATTTGCAGAGCTGAACAAACCTAAACGTACACTATCGAAGATTAGCTTAACATCGATGCACATAAGCATGTTTTAGCTCGGTTTTTAAACTAGGAATGATTTTGAATGAATAATAAAGCAATTAATGAATTTGGCTTTCATAGGATATGAAGAATTAAGCAGATCTCTGAGGGTGCTATCCACCTCAGCCCTTGGCCCAAACTTTTCCTCTAAAATAATAGCATTAAGACACCATATAAAAACAATTACATGTAATAAGGAAATTGATCCAGTAACTGTTTTTGAAAGGCATCATTTACATTTGACCGTTAGGCATGCATACAATTGGGGGAAAATCTGCTGTGAGCAAAAGTTAAATAGAAAATTAATATCAAAGACATGTACATACATTTATAACTAAAAAAATTGGTTTAAAAAGTACCATTCAGTAACCACATGAATGACAACAGATTTTAAGAATTTCAATAACACATATATTAATACAATTGTGTCATCTTATTGACTGATGTCCACTGTCATCAGTTACTTCCTCTTTCTAAAAAGTTATTTGCCTGGAAATTTAACTGTAGCGTTTTGAGCACGTTCACTATTTTCGATCCCTTATTTTTAGAAAAAATATCAAACCTGGATATTTGCTGTACAGGAAATGTGTGTAGCGTAATCGATAATAAACTATAAAGTCGTGTTCATGAATAAACTTGCACTTTCAAACGTCTGTTTCCCTATGCGTACGTCCTTGTCATTGGATGATAAATTTATATACATCCACATGCTCAAGTTGTGGGGTTAACCTTCTGTTTGTATAATTATAAACCAAAGCACATTTTACGATAAACAAGAGAGTTTGCCGCCTTATTTTCTGCGTCTGTTTCTTCGCTAAATATGTCACAAACGCCAAGACGTCCTGACAAGGGAAGGCCATTTGAAGTGCTGTCGTTCTAACAACTATGCCACAATTACGTTTTATCTGTAAAATTAATGACATCAGAGAGATCGAATTCGCTTTAAAACGTACATAAAAAGATTAATAAGCTGTGATAAATTACACTTTTAACCAAAACAGATCGAAATGTCGAAAATTATAATTTGGAAACTCGAAGTCATTAAGAAAATGAACATGAAATATGTGTGCTTAATGAGAAGCTTAATTTTGTTTTTAACAGTGAATATGTTGCTTAGTTTCAGAGGAAAAAATCGCTTAGGTTGTGACTGGAAACGATCTTAGTATGTCTGCATCGAAAATACTGCGATCATACCTCACAGAGAGTACAAAATCACCAGGAATTGATCTGCTGTCTCGGATTAAGTACGTGCCAGGTTTTCTTCCAAACAAGTATGCCTCTGATTTCTCTCGAGTTATACAGCCAAGATAACAACTGAAACGACAGCAGAATCGCACATTAGATTCTCTACAGCGAGTGTATGTTGAAAACAGTTTTCACTCTTTACCTTAGCTGACTTGGGTTAGAACGATTCATTCCGAAGTGTAAGCACAGCACAGTCGTTCAAAGTAAAACTCGAATTGCAAAGCTTCCACTTCAAGCAACATTCACGCTAAGACGTAACCCTCACAAGGGCGTTTTAAATGCATTTTCGTGAAGATCAAATGTTGCTGTAAGTTGTTACTTCGTCTGAAGCATTGGAACAGTATTAAAAATACAGCGATCAAGGAATTAAATCAACCAATGCTGCTGATCGAATCGAAATTACAAAATCCGGAAACTCCGTCCGTGAGCGAAAATGGGGAGGGCTTGCGTGGAAGGGAAGGGTTGTCCCTTACCAGTCCCCCGCGCGTCTTGACACGTGATCTCCAAGTTAACATGGCGGACGAAGTCGAAAGAAATCGCCTTGTAGCAGAATTTTCCGGAGTCACTGATGTTGATGCAGAAAGGGCTCAGTTTTACTTGGAGTCTGCTGGTTGGGACCTACACGTAAGTATTCTACTGTAATTTCTTGCTTTAATTCCGCGCTAACAGGACTGTTCTTCAATAATGGTTACTGTCTCTTTCACTTCCTTCTTTAATTTTAATAAGCTCTTTCATCACTCACCTTGAATTCGAAGCTTTGTGATTTTCAGTTTTATTTTGTATAATGGACAATTTTATTTATTCATTTTTTAATGAAGCTTGCCATCAGTAGTTTTTATGATACAATGGGAGAAGATGATGGTAACATAAGACATGAACCTCCCGAGGAAGTAGAACAGGTCAGATTCCTAAATTTCTTTAGATTAATTCAAAATATATTTCTAAGCTTATGTGAAAACAGCACCTACCTGAAGGTAGAATTTCTGCAAAATATTGGCTTGTTGCTCAGTACTTTTGCTTTTGAGTGTCTTATTCTTTTTTTTTTTATTCTTGTTATCTCTTTAGTCATTAATGTGGCTACATACAGACTGTATTTCGTCTTTGCATAGCCTCCTGTGGAGGGGGGGGGGCATTTTTTCTATTAATAGGTTAATGGGAATGTGCCACTGGATGGGGTCGCATTTTCACAACTGGATTGACTATAATGGGGTTGCATTTTCAATAGAGTTATTAGGATGGGGACACATTTTTAAGATTTTGGAAGTCAGAAAATTCAGGTAGGTAGGGATTTACAAATGGGAAGGTATTAACTACATTAACCCGAGTCACAAATTTGTCAATAATTCATTTCAGGACAACTTAGAAAAAAGGTAGATACATAAACAGAAAATCGTGAAAAGTAACTTTTTCCAAGAGTGACTAAGATGGGGTCTATAATTGGCCACAGAATAGACTGTAATGGGGTAGGGGTTCTGAGAGGCCAGCAGCACATACCCAGCCAAAATTAACCTAAGGAACCTTCCAGGTGCATAGCATATGAAATCTTCTGCCATTTTGTCAAACTCTGCTCAGTGAAAAAAGCTGATTTGGTTATCATGATGCCGATAATGCTCCTTGAGCTTTTTGGGACAGCTGGCTTGTTGCAAATAGCCAACTAAGTCAACTAACTAGTCACTTCCAGTCAACTGTGAGTGAGCAGTCTTTCAGTAATTGAAATCAAAAACTAGGCAGCAAAAACAAAAAGGAGGGGTCTTGCTATGTTCCTTGTTTCACGTTTCAGTTCTAGAAGCATGCCTTGGTAAAATTGAGAAACAGAACCATTAAAAAAACAGATTGTAGATAAAGAATAAAGATTGCTAGTTATACTTCCAGCCCCTTATGTTGTTCACTATAAACAGAAACCAGTCACAAGATCAAGACGGGGTGTTCAAGGCAATAAGGGGTAAGGAAAAATTGATTGAACAAAAAATATGTATTATTATTAATAAAGGCTTGTTTATGGTGGAAGGTGCACTTAGCTTATCCAGCTAGTTTACTGGCACTCCACTTAAATACTTAGAAACAAGTAATTCAAGCCCAACATAAATGGGTCAAAAACCCCAACTGGCAGGAGGCAACCAGTTGGCTATTTACAAGCATGGCTGCGGGTTTGAACTCGGGACAACTGATAACAAATCCAGTAAATGGCCAGAGCAAGACTCAAACCTAGGACTGCGAGATTGTGAGTGCGACACACTGACCACTTGGCCACACTGCCTTCATTAATGATAATGATTAATGGTTAAGATAATACTAATAATTATTATAACTCTCAATACAACATTATTTTAATATGGTTCTTCTGTTCTTATCTTTCCTCCTGCATGGGTTAAAGGGTACTGTCAAATACAGTGTAAGTGACGTAGCAGGTTCCTCTTTTTAAGGTGTCGTTTTCCTTGATTTTGGGTCTAAAGCAGTTACATCATTTACTGGGGATCTATGTTTAATTAGCAGTTTGGTATCAGCAATCTTGCATAAACAGTTTGCACTTCTCAGAGGTTCCCTTCAGGGAAGCTTTGACAGTAGTTCCTTCCAAAAATGGGATGCACATTTTGGGGACATAAAATGCATTTCACCACCCATGTAAGAACAGTACTAAAACCAAGCTTACCCCGCTCCCAACAGTGTGCAGAGTAGCCCTGGCCTGAGCATAGGCTCAACTTCTGCTGCTCTCTTGAGATGTCTGGTTTTAATGTCCCTCCCCAAGAGGAATGAGTGCAATTTGTCAAACAGTGCCTGATGTGTAAGAGGGCCTCTTGGGGGGTTGAATATGTCCCTAGTCTGAATTTGAAAACCTGTTGTTACGCGTAATGAGGAGATCAAAGCCATGTCACTGTGGGTATTTTTCAATTGTATTTGCGCTTTTCTCTGTTGCTGTCGCAGTTTTAACCCATATTTGTGTCATTTTTTGCCATTTCTGCTGTGTCGCTGTTTCAAGGCCATGTTGCTTGTCAGAATTAAATTTTACCCTAACGGGGCCTTAGTTAAGCTAACCCTGAACATCCCTCTTACAGTCCTTTTAATTCTCTTTAGGAAGCATTTATAAACAGTCATACTATTTTCTTCCCACTGAACGAAAAATACTAGCATTTCAGTTTTAAAATCAAAATAACTGAGGAATGTAAGGAATTTTATCAAAGTTTTGATGAAACCAATTGTGTTGTTCCAAATAAATTTTTTAGAGGAAACATTGCATCGCTGTCAAGTATGCATGCTGAAGAGAACAGTGACAGTGAAGGAGAAGAGGGTCAAGCATTTTACGCTGGTGGATCAGAGAGAAGGTATGTATAATTATGTTACAGTTGTACTGGTCAAATTTGGTTTCAGGTTAACATTTTTAAGCTACCGGTAGGTTGATTTTCAATTTTTTTTTGTCTTCTGAGGCTAGGAGACAAATTAAAGGGAATGAAGAATCAAGCTAAGTTAAATGAAAATTAACCTGAAGTCAAATTTGACCTGCAACATACACAGGCCTTGGTGGATTAACTTTGTTAATTGACGTATCTAATGTTCCAAAGTTGTGGGCTTTAACAACAATCTCCAGATGTCATGCTTCAGGACTCAAAAAGAGTGCTTTCAGCTAGTCTGGGAAAGTAGAATTTCCTGCCTGGCAAGTACCGTATTTCCTTGAATAATAGCCATCCCTCGAATAATCACCTCCCACAAATAATCACCCCCACCCCTTTGACGGAAATGTTTAAAATAATTCCCTCCCTCAAACAATCATCTACCAAATTTTAATGGTTAAAAAAAGTAAATTAAAACTTGCCTGGGGCAAGGAAAATGTTAGAGCTGTTTTTGTCCTAACCTGGGCAAGCTGAAATTCAAGCTTTTTTCAAGCCTTGGCGTTTGCTTTGTGTTGACATTCCAATGTTACAATTTACTACTAAACATGCTGGTTTTCATTTTGGGTATGTGCAGAAAGTAATTTTTTTCCCATTAAATGTTTCTTTTAATTTGGTGTTTTAATTTTGTGAAGGATCCTTCCTTATTATTTCTGTGAAAGATAAAACAACTTTATCACAGCAATGGTATTGCTTGTCAAGCCTTTGTCTCCTGCTTTTTTAAGGTACTGTCAAATCATTAAATCAACACATGCTGCATCATGAGATGGAGAGATCTCAGCAATGCATGGGCAATGTTAACTTACATGTATCAGTAAACTGAAAAGTAACACAATTCGCTTCTACGTACTAACATGGTATTTTATTTGGTAGTGGTCAGCAAATTCTTGGTCCACCGCGAAAGAAGCAGACTTCAGATGACGTAACACAAAGTATATTTGATGAAGCAAAAAGGTACTGCATACAAACTTTTAACTGACAGACATTTACGTTTCTGTGCATTTGTTCTATCTGCGAAAAAAAAGTGTCTGTAGCTACTGCTAATAATAATAATAATAATAATAGTCTTTATTCAATCAAAGGATAAAAATACATATCCTAATTAATACACGATAAAATACAATAGTAATATAAGATAGAATAATACTATAATACTAAATTATATTTAAAAATAAGTCTATTTACAAAAGTTTTCTTGTATATCTCCGTTTTTATCTGAGGAAGGTGACACCTTCTCCCATGCAAACTATAATACTAATTCTTTATCTTTGGGAATGATCGCACCTAGCATATGATTATCAATAGCTCTTTTGAAAGCGGATTTATCTTGCTGTTCTAAAAGATTAAAGATGCTGACTGTTTGCAAGGTAAAATGACGCTTATGGCACTTGTCTAAAAAATGCCGTATAACATTTAAATCAGAATCAGAAGCGCCATACACAGGGAACTAATTCCGTTGTGCTCATTGCCATGGCTTCCCAATGTCAGACTCTTGTTGAAAGAAGTCACGTCATTTTTGCCTTGAAAAGAAAGACATCTGATTGGCTCAAAATGTCAACAAAAAGATTAGGATATGTTAGCATTCAAGGTCATTGTCACTGCAGACACTCATTCAAAATTAAGTGTCATTCAGGATGTTAAAATGACTGTATCACAAGAAATTATGTATTCCTTTATATTAGAGAGCTTTAAAATCATGTTCATGGCAAACAGCAAATGTCAGGTTCAAGTTGACGGTTCTTGTAATAATTATGAGATTAACAGATAAAAACTATGCAAAATAATTCTTATAAATGAGCCTGGCCGGAAACTACTTAATAGGTTTTGGAAGACATAAACAACTGGTTAACCTGAACAAGTAAAAGGAAAACTTTATTTTGTAGTACAAATTGATGTTTTCCGGCTGCTGTGAATGTGATTCTGAATCTCTCTATTATTAAACACAAAAAGGGCATAAAATATCATAACTCTGACCGATATATTGGTGTGACTGGATGAACAAGCAATATTAATTTATTTTATATTTCTTGTTAGACATGGTGCTGAAGTTGTCGCTGATGAAGATGTTGCCGGACCATCAGAAAGACAACTCCCTGCTTTCAAGGGTGCAGGTAATATTTTTAAACAATACCGACACATAGGTGGACAGAGAGCAAGAAATATGACTTGATCATATGTGCAATTTCTTAGCATCTGACATGTTTCTGCTGAATTTCTCTCTCTTCTTTGCACTGTGAAAATGATAAACTTTATTTAGACAGGGCTATAGTTGGCATATTTCCAAAACTAATAAACCTGTGGCCTTCTACCTGTAAGTGTCCCCAACTAAATAGAGACCCTTCAAAGATCGAACTGGTGTTTGGAGTATAGGTTTTTTGATCAGTGGGAAAAACTTAAATGCCAGGAAAAAAATGTCTTTGAGCATCGAAGAGAACCAACAACAACCACATACAGCATCAATGAATACACAATACCACAAAGGCCAAGACTTAGTTAAGCAAGTGCAGAGGCTCCCGATTTTAGATCTTTGGAGGTTGGCATCTCTGCTGTTTTACAATTTCCCATTTGTATTTAACCACCTGTCAGCAACAACTTCACATAATTTGTGGTCTGACTCTTTGTTCACGGTATGTGCTACATGTCTCGGAGTATAAGAACAACTTTAACTGAACACAAAGCACTGCTGGTATTGTAAAATTATACCTGTATGCAACAAATTATATTTGAATGAAAAGGTTTGTCAGAAACTCTTGCTTCCAGGAAAGACCCCCTGTGGTTCTACTCTGGTAAGTCATCGAACCCTGTAAGAAACCTCTAACTCTTGCCATTTTGAGTGGTTGCTTGCTGGAGGTTAAACTGTGGTTATATTGAAGGAAATTTAACTCTGCCAATAATAGCTTTTCAAATTAGCTTAAATTTTGGATGATTAGATTATTGTTTTGTGGAAGGGTTCATAACATGTGATTTCTCGTGGGGGGGAAGGGGGGTATTCCTGGGAATTTGTGGTGTGTCGCCCATTTCTCCAAATCCTGACCCTGTTTCAGACCAAAAAATTGTCATTTTCCAGACCCATTTTCAGACCTGGCATAAGCAGACATAATGTTATCATTACTTAGATTAGAACACCAACAAAAAGATTTCTGAAAATCCACCTTAAATTTGCATATTGTTCTTTCTTTCTTATTTGGAATTGAAATGACAAATACGTTTATGCATTCCCTCAAAAACCATACAGAGCAAAATGGTGCAAAAACCATACCCTTTGGGCAGTACATACCCATAAGGCATATATAAGGGAGTATCCCCACCCCCTGCCCCGGGGTTTTTCCTTTCTTCAATACTTTTTCATCTTCAAATGTACAGGATATCGTCTTGGTGATACAGAAGGAGGTGGATCACAGCCTTTGCCCGAAACAGTTTCAAGCAGAAATAGTGGTATTCAGCAAGAAAATGTAAGAGGCAATATATTATTATTATTTTTAGTCGAATTTTAAAAAATAATACTTAAAAGGGTTTCATTGACAGACTCAAAGTTTTAACGACTTTGTTTGGTGTAAAAAAAAAAACAGTACACAGAAAAAGCTGTTTAATAGTTGTTGTTTTTATTAGAATGTTGATTCCTTAGGATTTCATCCAGTAACTCCAAAGTTAGAACTACCTTGTCCAGCTTAGTGAACAGTAACAAAGAAAATTACTGCTCATTAGCTAGCTTTCATTTGAATGGTAACACAGTAGTATTTCTGTGAAAGGTTTGAACCCTGGAGTCATTTCAAAATTCTGTTGAGTTTGATCGTCCGGGTGAACGGAGTCCTGAATAGGACTGTTGTTGTTGACAGTGACTGACGTTTCGACAACCTGTGCGGTAGTCATCTTCAGAGTCAAAGTTTCATTCACTAACTCTAAAGTTGGAACTACCTTATACAGCATAGCAATTACACAGTAAAAAAGAAAAGTTTTTGTTCTATTTGGAGACATCATTATTTTTTATGTCTTCCATTATACTTCAAATCTTAATCCTATTTTACGATAAATAAATATCTTAGAAAGACTTAAGCTTTAGAATAAAATAATTTTCTTTATATTGTTTTATCTTTTCAGAAAGAAGTTCAGTTAAAGTTTTGGTCAAATGGTTTCTCTGTAGATGATGGTCCACTGAGATCATTTGATGATCCTGCAAATGAACCTTTCCTGAATTCTGTCAGACGAGGGTAAGTAAGCTCCACAGAGTCTAGCCTGCGTAGCAGGCGCTTGGAAGTAGTGGGCACAATTTTGTCTCCCTCGCGCGCGCCTGTTCTCTCTTTCGCCAACTACTTCCAAGCGCCTGCTACGCAGGCTACACAGAGTCAAAAGCCATTTGTCTATTAGTCTTTTATTTATTTATTTATTAAAAAAATAATATTATATAAGGTGACAGGAGAGAAAACGTCACGTAAATAATGAGTTAGCCTGTTTCAATCGTCATCGCTGTTATTCCACCTCCCTCAATTTGTCAAATATTGGCGAATTTTTCTGGAGTTGAATTCTAAAGGACTGTATCCAAGTTCAGAAAAAGAGAAAATCGTTGTCTTGTGTCCACGTTCTCCATGCACAAAACGTGAAATTAGGAAGTTTCACGTCGCAGTCGTGCAACAACGGCAAAGAAGGGTACGAACATGCGTGCTGCATGTGCAGAGTTGCTGTTTTGCTTTTATAAAATAACTAAGATAGTACGCGCGCTCTGATTGGCCGAGAGCAGTGTTTGCATGAGAGTATGTAAACATGGTTGTGGCGTCAAGTTGTTTGGCTTTTCGCGCGCTAATCACGCAAGCACAAATTTGAAAAAGTTTTCGAGTTCAAAACTCAAAAAGTTTACTTTATTTACCCATTCCTTCGTCGGCTGAAACTTGGAAAATCGTTACAAAGAAGGTGTGTACATTTTTCTTCGCTTAAGCTGACCGTTTTAAGCGAGAAAAATCCGTATTTTGCAAAGCATCTTTTTGCAAAACAAGAACTGATTACGCGTGCAAGACTTCGTGGACAAGATTTTGCGACTGGTAAGAATTTCTCTTTTAATCAGTGCCTTACAAAGAGTTTTGCGTTTTTTTCTCGGGAAAGTTATTTTATAAAAGCAATAGAAAACTTTTTTTCTGTGTTTGCGTAGCCTGATATAAACACTCGAGGCGTTGGGAGAATTCTCGACAGTTATGCAAACCCTCGACTTCGTCTCGGGTTTGCATAACTGTCTCGAATTCTCCCAACCCCTCTCGTGTTTATATCAGGCTATGCAAACACGGAAAACGTTTTCTATTGCTTAAATATAAACGTAATATTTTTTTTGCCGTTCTCGTTGCCGTCGCCGACGTCGTTGCTCAAAGGAGCTGTGTCGAGGCAGTCCAGTTCATTTTGTTTAATTTTGCCAATTACTCGGCCTCAATCGCTATGGATCTTAAAGTAAGCAAAGAAATTACATGTAAATGACAAAATCAGGGATTCAAGACAAACATTTGTCTCTTAGGCATTATTTTTGAAGTTGCAAACAGCAGAGATAAATTTTGAGAAACTGTTGGGCTGAACAGTTTTCAAAAACCCTAATTTCAATCGGTTTCAATCTTCTTCAGTTTTGCCCATCCGTGGCATCTGTTGTATTATTTTAACCTTCCTCAAATGTTTCAAGCGGTTATTTTTATGTTTCTCTTAATTTAACGGACGTTTTGTAATTACCTAATTTGTCTGAATTTCGTGACACAGCTCCTTTAAGCTCCGTATTACTGCGGAGATGGGATGGTAAAGTGTTTTAGGTTCTTGGGGTTCTCCGTTTAAAACTGTTCTGAAAGGTCTTGCATCGCTTTTTAGGGAAATTCCACAAGAGTTATTAGCTTTGTCACGGAGAGGAGAGGTTCACGTAAATATGGAGGATCACAGACATGAAGAATACGTTCCACCGCCCATACCTAAGGTTCAAGCTTTCTCTGGTGCCGGACATAAACTAGGAAGGTATGCCACGTCTTTCAGTTTCTTCTGCCTTCAAAAAACTCACATACGAATAACTGATACTTTAAAATAGCATAAAGTAACTTTAGGTCCCAGTAGAATAAAGTACTTTCATAATCCGAACTTAATACTCAGTTTGGGTTGATCAAAAAAAGCCCGGAATTTAGTCCATCCGAAGCGAAGTTTAGCCGTTTTCCACGGCTATACCAACCGTGAAGATCGCCTTTGAACGTTGGCCGAACATAAACCGAAGGTGAGTCGAACGCGCATGAAAAGGTCATCCTGTCTTGGCTGAACTCAAATGCACTCACTCATCCTCTTCATCCCGGCTGGGACATAAGGCCGCAATCAAACTTCGCCACTCAACCTTGTCCAAACCCGGCAGCTCTTTCATCTCTGTTCTCCGCCAAGTGTGTTTTGGCCAGCCTCGTTTCCTCTTTCCAGTTGGGGTTTCTCTCTCGAGGCAACTTTGGCATCCTGTGACAACCTGCGGTTCTTAATTTCGAGAGACATATTCATACTGTCCTTCCTCTTATGCAGTGCCTCATTAATAATCTCGCTATGCCGAATAAGTCGAATAACCAGTTGTCGGTTCCAGAATGAAAAAAAAAGGAATTTGAAACAACACAATACTGTTTTTCAGCGAAGAGGGAAATACGTTTAGTGTTTCGATTTAATTACTTTCCATCGAAATTGTCCATGTTAACTTTTTCAGATTTTATTCTGACCAAATTCTCAGCAATTCAAGAAGCAAGTGCCAGGTGTAAACGTTACATTGCTTGTTTTACGCCCCGCACGATCCACAATACCCTCCATTCTCAACTTGTTAGACGCCATTTTAAGGAACCAATCAGATATCGTTCCTACAATAAGACCCGTTTGTATGGCAGTTCATCTCTCTTTCCTCATCTTCCCTTGCTCGTTTTTACTTTTTCAAGCCATTTTACGTGAAAAGTATGTTAAGTTGGATAGGCTGCTTGTACTCCTTCTTTTCTCTTAAAATCCCACCAGTTCTTATCACAGCCAGCGGCCAGCGCGACTGCAAATAACGACGTCACGATGAGGGATTAGGACGAGACGAGAAAAGACGGACTATAACATAATAACCTTAATAGCTTCGTTGTCCACAGACACCACAAAAGAGCCAGCAGTCTCTTATGTTTTCTTTTCGGATTTACGCCCTCGTTTATCGCGGCTCGCGTGCATGGGATATTCGTGGAGTAGCTTTGCAAAGAAAAATAAGAGGCTGTTCGCAGTCTATAAAGACATTGACAAGCAGCAAGGATGAGCTAGAAGGACAACTTTTCTTTGTGTTGTTCTTCAGCCCAGCGCCAGAAGTGAAGTTCAATCATTCAAAAGAACAAGATACGAGTGCTACAATACGAACAACCGTAGCCCCGATCCCTATTGACGAGTCACAGCCTGTCACCAGTATACAAATAAGATTGGCTGATGGAACACGGTATGTATAGGCCATTTTGAAATTGTCCTTTAGATCGGGTCGGTAATTGTGTCTAAAGCGCTATGAGATTGTTTTAGGGGATGAAATTGTGGCCCATTTTCCAGCGCAACCGTGTAATAGGCGTACGGAGCTTTAGCAACGATGACGGCGACGGCAACGAGAACAGCAAAAAAGCCGAATAGGTTTCGATTAGTAAAACAACACCTTTGCACGTGCGTCACGCTTTTTGGTGCATTTCTTTACCGTCTCTTCCGACCACGGCGTGAAAATGCCTTATTTCACGTTTAATGGAGGACGTAAATAAGCGACGACGAATTTTTCTTTCTCTTTTTAAACTTGATTGCGTTCCCCAAGAACTCAACTCAAGGGAAATTCGCCTACATTTGACATTTTTAAAAGTGAATTGGAATAAACGCGTCAAAATTTGAAAAACCGTGAATTCTTTAAAAGTAACGTTTTCGTTGGCGTCGCTGTCGTCGACGCTAAAGCCCCCTAATAAAAGAAGCTGTATTGCCCCCGAAAAAGTCTCACAGTGCAATCCGACGTAATAATGACGCCTTCTCACGCTTAAACTCAAACTGTTTTAGCCGCTTTGAAAACACCACGCATTATTTTTAAGGGGCTATGTCACTGTCAACTCATGATTTCAGTTTTTTTGGTTTTGTGGGGGAGGTGGGGGGGGGGGGGGGTTTTATCCCCCGTCCCCAAAAATGGGAAGGGTCCCAATTTTTTATTTTTTGTTTTGTATGTAGGGGAAAAAAAAAAAAAATTTCCAAAATATAAAGACGTTTTTAAAAAAAAAGGCGTTGACAATCGAGAAAAAAGAGAGCGAAGACTATCATTTTGCCACCACTCCACTGATTTCGTCGGTGCGTCCTACGAAGCCGCTTCTGCCAGCCACGTGGTGTTTGGTCGTTAACGGTGTATTTCTGTTTTTATTGTGCTGGGGGGCGGTAGGGGGGGGGGGGGGTTAATACCTCCAGTCCACAAAATCTGAAAGGTCCCAATTGTTACTTTTTGCTTGGTAAGCTGAGTGAAAAAAAAGAAAGCATTGCCAAAATCAAGATCAGTCTTCAAAGATAATGGCGTAGCAAGTGCGATAAAAGAGAGCGCGAAGTATCCTATGACGCATTCTTTCTCTTTCTCTCCTCCTTGGTACGAGAATCGTGCGCTTAAAACCTGAATGTTTTTGTACAAAAAAAAAAAGATACTGTTCCGGCGTAGTTTATGTCGAGACAAATGTATCGTATGTTTTTTTGTTTTGCAGCCTGGTTTCAAAATTCAACCACACAAGTACAGTTGGAGATATTCGACGATTTATTTGTGCGTATCCTTTTATAAAAGTTTACTGTATTTAGTTCAGTGATGAACGTTAGTTTAGGCATTTACGAGTTGGTTTGAAGAATCTAGAATGTTGCGTCCTTTTGCACGGGGCTTTCTTCACAATTTTTTTGTCGTGTGACGAAACGGTTTTAGCTGGTTTTCCTTCTATAACTTCTGTTCCCGCCCAATGTAAGAACGAACATTTTAAATTTTATTTCCATCTGCCACGCTAGGTTCATCTCCTTCGTCAAACAAAAATCAATATATACTTACAGTCAAACCCCGTTAATATAGACACTCAGGGTCCATAGAGAATACCGTAAAACTTCGAAAATAAGTCCTGGGGCTTATAGTTTTCAAAGGCCCTTTTTGAGGGGCTTATCTACGGAGGGAAATTTGCGTTTTAAAATCGATTGGGCTAGCCTTATAGTTCGAAGGAAATTTACCGTTTTTGCTTTGTTTTACTTTGCATTTGAGGGCAATTTCCAAGCACAAGCCCCCCGGAGGGCATATATTTGGAGGGGCAATTTAACGGAGGGCTTTTTGCGTTACGAGTTTGGGGGGCTTATATTTGGAGGGGCTTATTTTCGGAATTTTACGGAATCCGTATTAACGGGGTGTCGCACTCCGTATTAAGCGGCTTGAATTTAGAGAAAAATGTAAGGGCTTTCTTTCCCCAGGGACAAAGCAAACTGTCTGTAATAATGAGGTGTCTGTAGTAAGCAGGTGTCTGTAAAGCCGAGTTTGACTGTATTTATTTGTTTGTTTATTTTTTCAATTTATTTAATTCTTTCATAATTTGTTAAGTGGGATTGGATGTCCCTTCATAATGAATAAAAGTGTCGACTGCAACCTCAATTGTGGCTATACGAAAAAAAATTAAAATATTTTGTCTTTGCATGTCTTCCTTAACTAAAGCCGTAAAAATATAGTTCAAGACCACAAATGGCTACCAGAAACTTCGTTCTCATGACGACGTTTCCCAATAAAGAGTTAACAAATGATGGACAGAAACTGAAAGACGCAAATCTTTTAAATGCGGTAATTGTCCAGCGCTTCAAGTGAGTAAGAACTGAGAACTAGTTCAGGTAGTTGTGGCATTAGAAGTACGAGAATGAGTTAAACGCACGTGAAAGGCACGTGTTCGGTCGGCTTGTACTGAATATCTTGCTGTATTGGAAAATCTAAGGGCCTTCAACTCTCTGTCTGCTTTCAAGGGCTTTACAACACTATTGACTTTATATCGCCCACTAGTTTAAAGAGTTATGATGCTTTTTGTGTAAAATCTTTTCAAAATAGTTTATCCTGTAAAAATAAAATGTTCGGGCAAACGCGAGCGTTGTGTGCGGAGTATGTGTTTATTTATTTTGTCTGCATTGAAACAAACTGATGCTGGAAAAGAAAGCAGCAATTTCTTTTTGTCGTAGTTTTAACTGAAAACTAAGTACACGTGTAATTCACCATCAGCTGTTGTTTTCGGACTCAAAACAATAGCTGCACTTGTAAATTACACTTGTGCAAGTTTCATGTAACTGACTCCAGGTTTACGGAATTTAAAAGTTCTTTTTCTGCCGGTTAATTTGGGCAAACGCTGTGTTCGTATTTGAAGTACGTACTTGTGCGTTATAAACGTTTGTTTTGCCGTGTATTATTAGCGCGTTCTACGGGCTCAGACTGCAACAAACTTTCTGATATTACCAGTGATGGGGAACAGGTATTAACGTAAGGCTTGTACTGGTATTCGTTTAAAAAATGCTTAATGTATCCAGGCAAAGTTACTTAACTCTACCTTAGCGCTGGGCGGCAGAATTCCGAGCAACGCATGTGGCTAAAAAATTTTTGCTACGAGTTACCCTTCAAAAGGAAATTAAAGAGACCAAAAAAATAATCTGGCACTTGTCAGTTTAATCATTTTTTATATGCAAATACATTTGTTCCGCTATAGCAGCAGTTATATGTTCCGCTTGTGTTAAAGCTCGTGTTGATCACTTTGCGAGGGTGCTGGCCGTTCAGCTTCCCGTTCGATCTCTGTTTATTTCTAAGCTTAACTGCTTTGTTTAAAGGCGTTTTATAGTCATGTTTTCTCTTTCGTGTCATTGTTCTGGAATCAATCCAGTAAATTTGCGATTTAAATGCTACAGGACGCATCAGCTTAAACTTCCTTTTGGAAAGAAAAGGGCGGGCTTTTCTTTGTCCACAGAATTTTCAATTAGATACCCGCTTGAACTGGGAAAAAAATGAAAAGCTCGGGAACCGTATGTACTTTATCTTGTTATAAATTGTCAATTGCATCAACTAACCGTTTACAACTCTCAGTGACTAGCGGAAAATGTTAGCTGTCGACTGGAACGTGCTTTCGCTTATTGCGTCCTTCCACCGAATCCAAACGTCTCTTACTGATGTCAAACTCGTATACGAATCTTTTCTTGTTTTCTAAAAAGGAAGTTTAAATTGCTCGACGCGGTTTAGTCAGATATTTACAAACTCTTTTTGCTATTTTGAATCCTCCCTGATCGTGAACAAAATATTCGACTTTGCTCGCGGGCTGTGTTCACTTTAACTTTATAGACTTTTCGGTAATATATTTAAATTCGAGCTCTCTTGCATTGACCCAAAAATTAAACTTTGAAATGCGACAAAAGACTGCGGTCACTGACGGCGAACGGCTTAGCCATGAAAATTTGTTCCTGTCAAATTTGCACTGAAGCGCAAGCTTGATAGTAAACTTTGTCGTGGATTCTCCATTTCGTCAGTCACTGGTCTTGATTTATCTTGATTTTTCGCTTTCTATAGTGCTTCGACCTGCAAAGAAAACAGTGATTTTAGGAGAGAGAGCAGATTTAAAATCCCCCTTATGTCACTTTTAATAGCGCAGAATTGTTTACTCTTTCTACGAGCTAATGTGCAATAAATGAGAGCATTAATATTTTGTACTCTCTAAATTTTCCCAGGGTGCTAGCTAACAGCTAATTCTATTAGTATTCTTCTGTTCTCATTGGTAAACTTGACAGTACTATAGAACCTCTCACGTGAGAAGAAAGAAAAAAAAATAGCGGCAAAACTACGAACGTGTGGAAGAGATTTGAAACAGCGCTTAATTTTCTCGAGGAGTGATATGTAAATTGTCGATTTTATTTTAATAAGCTGAAAGGTTATAATATAATATTGGAATATTTATTTCCATGTTGAGGGTCAAAATACGTCCTTGGCCAAAACTGGTTACTTAGTGACGGAGAAAGATAGTGCAAAAAGTTCCCCGAATTGCGAATAAAAAAGTTAGAAATTTTCAGAGCGGGGTTTGTAAGCTAGTTTTCAAGCCCGGACCTTTTCTGGAGTATTTAAGGGGAGATTTATTTAAAACGCAAGGGAACTTATTTTGCACCAAAAGCCAGGTGCAGCTAGCCTCAAAGGGACATATGTTGTTTTTAAAAGTGCAGCTGCATTTTCCAACCAAACTACCGGATGAAAAAAACGATTCACCCTTCATTTCTGCCCGAAATTTCACTTTCTTACTCTCGAACTCTCGCTTGAGAAGAGCTCTAAGCGAGCGCCAACCACTGTACTTTAAGCATCTCAGACAGCAAAAAGAAATACACAGATTTCTGCAGACTTACTTGAAAATTTTCGCCGCGCTGGAAGTGTGTGTCTCTGTGTTTTAATCATATATGAAGCGAAACGTTTCCTTTTTTGCCTGAGTATTTTCGGCCTTCTTTCGCCCTCTGTCTGCTCAACTACCACGCTATTGTTGTTGCCTAAGAGGGGAAAAATAGCCAGGTTAAAATGTGCGCTCAGTCCTCTCCGGTCAAGTTCCGGAACGCTTTCGACAAACTTACTTTCACTGGGTTCCTCGAAACGCGAACTGAGCGTAGCTTGAAGATAGGCAATGTATTTTATCGCTTCTTCGATGACCTCGATCTGAAAGACAGAAGAAAACATCGATTTGCCTTTTGGAATTTTTTGAGACTTTTGTACATCCTGATTCCGTGGTGTATTTTAGAATTTCATACCTTGGAAACACGAGGGCGAGAGGCTGTAGCTGGAACAAGGGATCGTAGTCTGGAAAACTCCAGTGATTTCATCTGCTTGTTGTAGCTCCGTACACATTTCCTTATTTCTGTAGTTCTTGGGTCTTGGAGCTGTTTCTCGCCGCTGTTGCCACTGCCAAACATTTTTCCAAATCTGCAGGACTATAGAGTAAGAAATGAGCGTACGTGAATAAGTTTTACCGGCGAACCAAGAATTTGAAAGCAACTTTTAAAGCCCACGCTTAAAGAATAAAACACTTAATTTTACAATGGTACAAATTAATCGTATAGTTACCGCACTTTTAGATCGAAGAATTTTAAACGTCTTGCTGTAGTTTATGGCGCTACCGTTCTTGCAGTAACAAGCGAATGAGTGAAAAGCCTCCTATTCTGGCGCTAACTATAAATTGCCAACATTACAATAGCACAATTCACCTGTAACGGCCTGTAAGACAATGAATTATAAACACAACTGTTTTAAGCCAATCACACGGCGAGTTTGCCCGGTTAACAATTAAATGTTCCTTTGTGCCGACCAATCGGAATCGAGGACATTTGCCTACAGAACTGCTGGTACGGCAGTTAATGAAGTTTACTGTATTTTTTCATTTCTTGGTGCTTTTTTCTTCTTTTTCTCCTTGAAAATTTCTCATGCTGCCTAGGCACGCTTAGCGTCTGTTTTTCACAGCAATGCGTTGCGTTACCTCAGAAAGTCGAAAGCTATTGTGTTGGTTTGTATTAAGATAAGATCGCTCAGGAGAATTGAAAGAGAAATGTGGCCGTCAAGTTCGGATTCCATTCAACAGTGCAGCGTTACCTAGAGTCAAAACCACACTAAGAAGTTTTATATTATTATATTCGACACATTGACAAGGAACCTCTCTCGTTTCCATAGCTTTTTTGCTCTCAAGGCAAAAGCAAGAAACATTATCAAAGAAGTGAATAACCTGGGCAAATTGCTTGCTAAAATTAAACTTTCATAAGGTTCCTTTCAGCCCGTGGTCGATTTGCTAGTATATCTACATACTTGTCATTACAGCTGCTTTTTTCTGTTATTTTGAATCGCGTATTGCGTGGTGGAAATTAAAGTACAACAAAGCCAGCTTGAAATCTGGTACGCGATTTTGGCTGCCTCGTTTTTTTCTGCGAATTTTACGCGACTTTTTCTCATTTGTTGCTACAAAATTGGCGCGTTTTGTTGAAATAGCACTCAGTTATTTTGATACAGTTTTCGCGTAGACACGTGGTTACTTACTATCCAGCTGCAGAGATGCAAATGCTTTACGGACAGAGCATCAAATAAACCAGTCTTCTCGTATGTTCTGGTGGTCGCATTGCTTACAACGAAACAAAAAAATAGTTGTTCAGTGTTTTCTAGAGGAGTTTTTTGACGGCCATATTAACAAAATCATAGCGATCTTTTTTTGATGCTCCCCTCTAAAAGCTAATCATAGCAATAACTCTTCTTAAATCTAATTTCCTAGGCCATTTTCCTCTTGGCCCTTCATTTTCTTTCCTTCTTCGATATAATACAATTAAATGTCGTTTTCTAGTTGAGTGTCATTGCTACAGTTTGCCTTTTCGCCGCAATAATGACGTTTTCATTTCTCTCTAAAGAGAAAACACTTCATATTTATAGTAACGCTTTTTATTCACACAGTAGGGTCTTAAAGGTGGCTTCTCTTATATCTTTTAAACGTCGTGGAAGGTTTTGAGAGTTTTCAATTTTATCCTCCAACGTTTCTGATCTTTCTGAACACGCGATGTGTACGTGGAACTTCTCGCGGCGGTTTAATTGAGTTGGCTTTCATGATGATGTAATATATATATAGGGTGTCAGAGCTACGCTCTAACAGAAAGAAATATGCGGATTATAACGACAGCCAATGAGAAGAGAAATTATGACTTTGTTTATGAAAAGAACAGCGGGAACGTTGTATCAAACAAGTGTTCTGCAAAGTAGCTTTATTGCTAGTGGACTTACTTTTCTTCATCTCCTCTCGATTACGGTCTTATACTACTGATATTTGGAGGCAGATTTATTTATATCGTGTGTTCCAAAAGTAGAAGAAGGACGAATTGTCAAATTACAGTTTATTTAAATTTTTGTAAAGTGCCGGTAAATGGTTGATTGAAATGTTTTCTACATGGGAATATAGGGTTAAATCACTTACAACGTTAAAATAAAAAATATTTATAATTCGTCGAACTTTCTCTCTGGGCAAAGCTCTGTGTGGCTTTTATTCACTCAGAATTGGTTTCTTTTTAAAATTCAAATTTGACAGGCTATGTAAATTGACTAAAGTGCTTTTACTTTCGGGAGACCCAAAAGCGAAAATGCCATTTATGGTTGGTAAATAAGCAGAATTTTGCAGCTGCTGTCGAAAATTAGACGCCATAAACAGTGGCACTTTTCACCATTAGAAACAACTTTTGCGGTATTTTAAATCTTTATAGACTGAAGTTCACGTACCAAAATAAAAAGGAAAGCTGGATGTAGAGGAATGAGAAGGAATTTCATCAGTGAAGTAAATTGCTCGCTTTCTCTTTTTTTGATAACGCTAACCACTGTTAAAATTGTGTAGATTAGCTTCTGACGGACAAAAGCGCTACTTTTATTCGTTTATCACTTCTAAAAGGTTTGCATAATTGCTTGCAGCAATTCTTTTTAAAAATGAAACTCAACGGAACATTTTACTTTCATCTCCATAAAATATTCGTTCGCAGAACATTTTATCCTGCCTGAAAAAGCCGGTAGAAGAGGACTACTGCAAAGAAATCTTAGCGCAACAGAAAATTTTTAAAACTGCTAAGAAGTTTTTAGCACCTTCGGTCACGTGGGTTCGTACGCTTAACTTTCAGTGTTTATAGGTGTGAGGGAGGGGAAGGGATGGGGTGATTTATTTTTTTACTCCGATCAAGCGTTTAATTAGGTACCATTCATTCTCAATACAAATTTTAAACAGGGCGAAAACTGGACTTTACCTACTCCCCTGCAGCAGAAAGCAATGTGGTCTGTGGATAACTCGCGCGAGCGTAGAGCCTTGGTATGGCTAGTATGCACAACAGACGTTATTTTTCGCGTTTTTTTAAGCGAGCGAGGAGCGCCAGACACACGCTTCTTTCGCGCTCCACGCCCGCCTCGCGGTTCCCTTCGCTAGCCTGAAAAACGCGAAAAAATAATGCCTGTTATGCAGCGAATGATTTGGCAAATCTAAGTGAGTTTTGCCGTGCGAAAAAGATACCCTAAAAAATGTAAACAAATTTTCGTCTTCTTTGTTGATTTAATAAATTACATTAAAATGCGTTTTAAAGAGTAGTACAGTCAGTGAGCTTGTGACATAAGATGGCCTTTGTAAACAAAGAGCCCATATTGACGATTAGTCTTTGTATTTTTTATTCATCAAGCCGGACAAAGCGTTTTGTTCGTCGACAAAGGCCTTAGTTTTTCCTTTGTCAGTTAGTTGTAGTAACCCAATGTGTCGTTTTTGTAGCTTACATAAATAGATTTTAACGTATCAGACAGCGAACACGCTTTTACTCCAAGAACCATCATTGAATTTGTGTTCTCTTTAATTGAAAGGTATTAATGCCACTTGTAATAGTTTGATTCATTTGAAGTCACTAACAGCCCAAAAACTGACGAAAAATGGCTTTAAGCTAATTTGAATTGTTTGGTTTTGCGGATATAACCAAATCCATTTGAACAACTTAGAGATTAATGCCAGTGATATTTTAGCTGGCTAATAGGTAATTATTTAAAGTTTCCTCGCGTTTACAAGACTAAGGAACCAGGAAGTGCGCAAAGATGATATTACTTTCATTTGAACTTGATTAATTACTCCTCCTTGTTGCTGTACAAGCAGACGCCATGAAATATACCAGTTTAATTAAAATTCAGTCCAATTAGTACAAGCAATTCGAAATTTTGGTCAGTGAGATGTACAATTCTAACATTGAATAAAGTATATTGGTTACAGAAAGACAGCGCTATATACATTGCCTTCACAAATTTGATAGCTATTGAATGTTTTTGTCTTATATCTTCTTAACTCTTATCCTCGTGATCCGAAATAAAATTTTCACAGAGTTTTTTATCGATAAAACTAAGTATTTACTTAATTTTAACAGCATTTCCATATTACAAATTAATTTAAGTCAAGAATTCTTTCAATTTTTTAATGATCTTGTCATCTTTCAACGGCAAAAAACCGACTTCTGAAACCGAAACGTTTAAGCCGCAGGATTTTGAACTCATTGTGTTGTTTTTATTTTAGAAGCATCAATTGTCGCTCGAATCCTTGTTGACTTGATCAGCTTTCTTTCAAAAATGTTTCTCTTTGTAAAGGCGTATTTGAAAGGATTTTTGAGGTGGTTTTTTTTTTTGGACGAAAGGTGCAGCTAATTTCCGTTTATTGAAAGAAGTCCTGGCCATCAAAAGTTCACAACAACTTAGGTTATAGAGTTATTATGTCCCCCTGATTCATGACTTCCTTCATCACGCATATAACGAAACTGTAGTTTAGCCGCAAGATAACGACTGTCAGTCTTTAGTCCGCAGACCTTTCTGTCATTTCCCTTCGCGTTTTTGCTCTTTTTCTTTTACTTTTTTTTTTCCATATTTTAAATGGGCCTCCCGAGATTGGTCGAGTTAAAGCTTTTGTCGCCAAGACAAAGTTTCATGTCCGAAAAAATGCTTTGTGTAGCTTTACATCTTCTACACGTGTTTATGTTGCTTTAAAACATGGTTGGTTTACTCCCCCGCAGGCGAATAGCCAGCTGATGTCTCGCGAAGTCAATTCTGGAGAACTTTGGATTCCTTAACGAAATTTTTTTTTTTATGTATACCCCATACAGAAAGTTGATCTAAAGTGTTAAGAATATGTGCAGTGCTGGTCTTTTAGAAGAAAAAAGGAAAATGATGTCCTGGCGATGGATTCTTTTTGTTCCTAGTATCGTATAGGCATTGAGCGTTCAAGGCTTAGTGATACTCTGTTTGCATGCAGCGATCATGGCTTCTCATGGTGGACCAAGAGATTATCCCTGTATTAAGAACTCTCCTTTCCACCCAAATACCAAGGACAGCTTACTAACGTTAGACCCTGCCAGAGAAATGTTATGTCATATCCAGTGAAAACACTTGGAGACGAGAGAGAAAAAAAGAGGAGAGAGCTGCTCTCGTTTGTCTCTCGTTTACCGCACCAAGATCCCTGCGGTTTTGGCGTTCCCATTCCCAAAAGCCTAGTGATATGGGTATCCCCTGTAACCCCAACCCTAACCCAAATCGCTAGGGTAATACGAGAAGGGAATGCCCAGATCACTATGGTTTTGGGAATGGGGATGCCCAAAACGGGGCGATGCCCATATAACTGTATCACCGCATTGAAAATCGCAAGTCTGGGGCGAGTGGCGCATGCGTATCTGATCTGGTGCGAAAACCACGCCA